GTCGGCAAAAGGGCTTTGGTTGGTGGCCCCGGTCATCATCGGTTGCATGGACTGCATAAACTGCCCACCTGTTTGCTGCATGCCGGCGTTGAAGCCCATTACGCCCGGAATAGGTTGCTGCTGGGGGACAGGATAGGGATTCATCTGCGACTGGGCCATTTGTTGCTGTTGCTGTTGCTGAATTGCGAACTGCTGCTGCAAACGTGCTTGGCTGATCTCATTCATGCTCTGACCCGGGGGCGCAACAGGCGTCTGGAAACCCGTCATCTGGGGAGCCAAGGGAGGTGGTGCAAAAGCGCTCGGCTGAGCCGACTGAGGAGCTGACAACGGCCGAGAAGGAGGCGGAGGCATCAGTATACCCTGGCTCGATGTTGCAGCAGGTGGAGTTGGTCTCTGTCGCTGCACTGGCTGCTGCGGCGGCTGCGTCGAGGTAGCGTTTGGCCGGACTGTAGCAAAGAAGGACGGAGTCGCCCCCGTTGGCTGGGGAGCTTGCGCCGGTGCCAGCGGCTGACTTGCGGTAGGGTTCTGCGCCGGAGGTTGGGCAGTCCGCTGAGGCTCCAAAGGCGTGCTTAAGAGAGATAGCTCCTGCATAGAACCGGTGAGGGCCGGCACTTGAGGTGACGGCACAGGCTGCGACACAGGCTGCTGCACAGACTGAGTAGGAGGTTGGGTAGCCGCGGGTACCGGAGGTATCGGTGATGATCCCGCGGCAGGTTCTTGTGGTTGCTTCGCAGGCTTCACGTCCCATGCGTCGTCGTCGAAACCGCTTTTTGGGCCAGGCAAAGGTCCCGGAGCCGACGACGGCGACTTTGATGAAGTATCTTCAGCCGGGCCATCCTCCTTGCGCGCGAAGGCTTTCGGATCCACGACGTCGCTTGTCTGAACAGCAGGTGCTGGCCGGCCCTTCCTTGTATTGTTACGCAAAGCGCCACCGGGTCCCGAGAAGAGACCGCCAGAGCCGCCGTCTCCTTCAGCACTAGATTTATCACCCCCTCGTACACGGCCAAACTTTTGATCCAGCGTGCGCATGACCTTGATGATGTCGCCCTCGCGAAGACCCAAGTTGCGGAGAATGGAGGCGTCCACGTCGGGAAGAACGCTCTCATCCATAGAGTCTTTGGAGAATGCCTGCGCATAACGCTCACACAGGCCTACGGCGACGTCGCACGAAAGGAAGAACTGGAACCAGTCATACTCGGGCTTCTGCGGCGGGCCAACCGATGCACCAATTCCGCCGGAGGCTGAGTCTCGTGCTGCCCCCGCTTGAGAGGCCGCTCTGGCTTTCTTGACGTTGGACAATGGCTTGTCCTCATCTAACGAGATGCCGGTAATGCGTTCCACGTATTCGAGATCTCCCACTGACATTTTGGCTACCGGAACCGCAATCTTGACGCCGTTCATCTTGTGTAAGTTGATCTTGCCATCCTTGAGCCCAAGAAATTGCGCGTCGACACTGAAAGACTTCGATCGGTCGGTCCATGTCCTGACCTTGGAAGGATCCGGCTCTGCGATGTGCTGTTAGTCTTACTGGGGACAGTTTTAGATGGGGCCTTGACATACTTGATTTTCCAGAACGGCCTTGACCGCTACCTTCGCCACGTCCGTTTTCGCGTTTACTCCGCTGCCCATAGTTATTACCATTTTCTCTTGCCATAAGACTGCTGCCTCGCTTAGGTAGAGGCATTCCTGGCCCTACCTGCTGTGAGCTGTCTCTTTGCGCCGCCTTTACAGCTTCCTTTGTCAACCGTATCTCTTCTAGGCGATTTTGCTCGACAGTCGATTTCGCAGCGTTGATTCCGATGTTGCTGGGCGGCGGGGTAATGGAGCCTGTGATCTCAATGTAGCTGCTTGGAACAACGCCCTCTTTCCCGTTCTTGACGCGCCGCACTTGCCACCATTCCTCGCTCTTGGTGTCATCGATGATAACAACATCATCGCCAACTGCGACCGTTACTTCGTCGTCACCCTGGGCCATGAAATCATACAGAACTTGCCCTTTCTTCTGGGCTTTCCCAGCTCCAGCTAAGATGACCTCTCTCAAGCCTTCTGCCCGAACAGCTCCAGCTAGTTCGCCTAGAGCGCTTACAATCTCCTCGGCCGTATCCTTGGCACCTGCGTGAAAGTCTACACTTTTGCTTGGCCGTACAAGCTCGAGAAAGACGTGTTTCCCCTCACGAGAATAGTGCGTCATCTTGTCGGCCGTCCATTCTTGCGACGGCCCGTCCTGAGCACGCTCTGGAGCAATGAGGATGGTACCAGTTGCCAGATTGACACCGAGCGTCGTGGGCATCTTCTTGCGCTTGCCCATTACAGACACCATTTCATTGATGTTGTACATGTGGAAACCGCCGGGTGCACGGTAAGGGGGTTCCTCAACCTCCGGAGAATTGTCGTACAGATGCGTGTCTATCGATCTCTGAGACTGAATGCGCGCTGGCGGAGGCGCGACTTGAGATATGGGCCGTGCTGGCAAAGCCGGACTTCTCACATGCTCCTCGTCGGAAGGCTCTGACAAAGGGGACTGTGGCGAGATCGGAGGACTCTCAGCACGGGGAGCAGGAGCGGAGCGTCCAGCAATAACTCCAGCCAATGCCGCCGCAGGATTATTCGGTTGTGGGCTGGACGCAGAATACGCCGACTCTGGACGCTCTGAGTTGCTGTCGGGCCCAGGAGCCGGAGGCATGGAGGAACGTGACGGCAAGGCTGGGGGCGGCGAGGGCCGAGGGGCGGCTTCTTCCGACTCGCCCATCTCGATGTAGTTGGAAGGAACAAAACCATAGTCGCCGTCCAGACCAACCAAAATCCAGTCAGGGTCCGAGGTGTCGTAGACGTCGATAAGTGCATCTTCTGGGAAGGACAGTTCTTCGTCGGTTTGACGAGTATATTCATACAATGCCCGAGCCTTTGCGATAGGTTGAGCCTGCAACAACACTGTCAGCACAGCACAGAAAAGACAGGATGCCACTACCTCTTCAACATAATTGTTTGGGATTAAACCTTCGGGCTCATCCTCATCATCAGCGCTGGCTTTCTTCTTGGCTTTCCACCAATCGTCTTCGGCATTCTTTTCTAGTATGTAAAGCACATCTCCGTCGCTGATGGCGAGCTCCCCCTCGGCTTGAGGCGCATAATCATATATGGCCTTACAGACCCCCGAAAAACCCATGGTGCAGGCCTGGATGGCTGAGGAAAAGCAACTGGTATGTGATGTTAAAATCGGTCGGCGTTTGTTGACGGGCGGGTTAGGCGGGAAGCATGAGGATGGGGCCAATGTGCTGTTGATCGGTTGGCAGGGCCGGCGCTGTTGTGGGAGGGTTCGCAGCTCGGTGCCGGCGACCCCGGATATGGGGTGATTGAAACAGAGGGAGCCCGGTTGGATCGAATGCAAAGTCTCCTATCGACGGAGAGGTTGTCAGTACATTGGCAAATACTAAACCGAGATAGGATGCTGCTGGTTCAGGAGAGACGATTAAAATTAACTCAGGTGCTAAACGACGCAGAAGCAAGATCGTCTATCGCAGCTATGTTGGATTGCCGGGAGAGAGCCAGGTATGCGGCGAGGAGTGGAGAAGGCACGGGAAGCAGGCGAACGTAAAAACCCTTCAGGTAGCTAAGGGTATCTGGGAGGGATACAGGAGATGGGAAGATGAATATCCAGACGGGGACTCGAACCGGAGCGACGATGCGATGATGCAGGGCTAGGCGGGTGAGGAAAGCTTACAAGTCATGAAAGAGTGTATAGAGCACCGACTCTGGATAGCGTGGTTCTATTTACTCGCGAGAGATTGTCAGCGGTGACTGGGAGCCAAGGCGGAGGTGCAGGTTGCAGGAGTGGACGATTGACGGGAGATTGTGGTATGTCGCTTGCGGTGGGCGGTGATGTAAGGAAGGCCGGGCAGGGCTGGACGTTTTGGAATCGGATCGGGCAGGGCAGCGACAGGCCGGAGAGCAAAGTAGCCCCAGAGCACGCGGGAAGTGGAATCTAGCTTACCTACCGACAGAGGTATAGATGGCAGGAGTGGTGATGTTGGTGACAGAGGCAGCAGGCTGGTCGGCAACCTAAACCTGCCGTGATGTTGGGTGTAGTTAGTGATTACGGGATGAGATGAAGACCAACGAGACTTGGTCGGGACGGCCACCGCCACTGCCACTGCCACTGCCACTGCCACCTGGGTGGACAGTCGCGGACAGTCAAGTCATCAGAGAGAGGCCTAACCTGGGGGCTGGGATTCAGGCACCTCCCCCTTGTTTGCTTGTTTGACCGCGCTACCTTACCTACCTACCTTACCTTAGGTGCCTTACCACGTTACCCATACTTTCCATACCTTCTGTTACCTTGCAGGTGCTTACTTACCTACGTAGGTACCTTGTGGGTAGGTACATATCCGTGGGTAAGTCAGGTATCCGTAAAGTACTTTACAGATGTCCTACATGGGTACGTACCATAGGTAGGTAAGGTGCTTTTTTCAGTGGTGGTGGGCAGGGGGGCCGCATTTAGGTATTATAGCGCTGCGGGGCCTCCTTGGCAGGGTGCTTGAAGAAATGACAGCAACAGACCGGAATCAAGGTTTGTCGTTTCCGTTTCCGCTGCTCTACCCTACTGGTGCACCTATTCCATACTTGTGCCTAGAGAAACTCGCTCTCGTCTCCGTCTTCATTACTTCTTCCTTCCACGATCGGGGTCGGTTTTCTCCGTGGTCTGGGTGCTCACCTCAATCAATACAATTTTTGGTATGCCAAATGGCCTGACCAACCATCGCGTCGCATTACCAAATATGCCACACTGCGAGGAGTAACAGAAACGGAACCTCGTCATGCTGGCACCGTCACTTTAGAGGGTAATCCATGTGCTATTTCATGCCTTACAGATGCTCAACGTTCAGACCAGTGTTCCTCCTGTCAACTCACAGTACGGCCTGCTTCCTTTTCCATGTCCATCATTTTGCTGTGCTCAATGTGAGCGATGTCAAGGCCTAGTCCGTCAGCGCGCGACGGACCGCCTATGACGAATGCCTTTCTTCGATGGTCTGGCTGCTGCCGCCCCCCTGTCCTCGGCTGACGACACCAGGGAACATTTTGGGATCCTGGCTTAAATTGTGGGCATCTACTGCCCATGATGCTTCTTTGGATGAAGGCAGGCTAGCAGGTGAACCGACTACATCATCCCGAAAGACCGCCCTAGTGCTTGACACGTCTAATTCAGGCTTCTCGCCACCCGCGACTACAGATGCGTTTCCGAGTCCTCCGCTGGGGTGTTCGCGCGGAGCCCCGTGCTGACCGGCTATGATGGCCTGAGCAGTACTTTGCTGGTCGGCGCTTGTCATTGAATCCGGAGACGCCCTGGCACCGTACGCAATATATTTGCGAAGCCTGACGCCTTTGTTAAGTCTCAATGCCACCTCTCGTAACGTATGGGCCGCACTTACATGTCACGCTCTTCCATGAGCGTCTGAAATCTGAACTCCTCTCGGCGGTCCGGGACGTTCGTCTTCACCATGGTGTTGCCTGCCTTGCCGGGCAAGCTGTAGTTAGGTCCCAACCATTGCTCCTTGATTGCGTTCTCGAACCCGCTCTGCTTGACCGAGTTCTTTGCCAGCTCGCACATGTCCACGGAGCCCAACTTGTAGATTTGGGCGGCCACTGCGTATTCCTCCATCAACGGCTCTTTGGTGAAGGCAAACTGCAGAGGGTCGTCTGTGGAAAGGGAGACATTTAGACCCCTGCGAAAGTATTGATAGAACGGGTTTCTCTCGTAAGCTAGAAAAAGGGCGTTGTTGCTTAGAGGCGACATGGCAATACCTATTTGCTCCAAGTAGAAGATGTACTGCAGAAGAGGGACTTTACGCAGTAACAGTCCATGGCTAATGCTGTGGCAGCAAAGCAAGGCAACGGCAAGATGTTCGCTATCCCCTGCCTCACCGCAGTGTGGACGGAGCGCAAATGTGTTGAAGCCACGACGCTGTCGGAGGATATTGAGCGAGGCCATATTGGAGAACAAGTAGTAGATCCAATAGCTGTACGGCGGGTTCTGTTTTGAGTCCCATACCTTCGGCACTGGGAACTTCTTGAACAGACGCCTCTCAACCTTGCTCTCATCATCGACGCTATCAAAGCCAATCACTCTCTGCAGGAAGATGTGCAGCTTTGGGTGACTTGATGGATCCTTGGACACCTCAAACAGAGGTTCGAATACGTTCTTCACAACTTGCTCAAACGTGTCCATGAGTCCGCTTGCCTTATAAACATCATACAGACGAGGAATTTGAATGAGCCATCGAACATTGTGAGAAAAGAGCTTGTTGTCGACGACCCAGGCGGCTAATTTGTCCCACTCGTCGAGTGACTTGCCATAGATGGAAATGCGCCATTCGACCATCTGGTATTTGCTTGACTCCAGATCAGCAATTACCTCCTTGGTGATCTCGGCCAAATAGCGTCCGTTGATGAAATTGTCTGTCTTCAAAAAAATTGTTCGGAGCCTGGACTCGCCTATTGGGTTGTACTTCAGGTTGAATTTGTCGAAGCGGTGAAAGGAATCCGTATGTGCGTGCATGTCCAAGGTATCGATGGACAGATCGTAAGCAGTAAGATTAATGCTCTGGAACACCTCTGCCAAGGTAAGATGCCGACCGTCGCGGAAGAGCACTACCTCATCCGGGCATTTTTTCATCTTGCTTTTGATGAAACGCAGAAGGTGTTTTTGGTTCATACACGCAGAGTGATGAACGTGTGTGTCGACCTTACGCACGTTGTAAAAGTCTCTGTGGGGGACTTTCTTGCTGTCCGCGGTCTCTTGGTACTCGTTGAGAAGAGCGTACAGGTTGAATTTGCCTTCGAGATATTGCAGCCGACGAAATGCGAAACTCTTACTAGGACCATCCGAGGAAATACTCAAGATCTGATCAAGATCCATGTAGAATTCGCGAATAGTAGGGACACGAACGAGAGGGGCACCACTCGCCTGAGCATCCTCACTGTCGAAGACCTGGTAGACACCACTGTCATCCAGCTTGAATGTCATTGTGTCAACTGCGGGCAGTGGCAGAAGATCATTCATATCGAAATCCTCCCCAATATCTTGGCCCGGCTTCCTTTTCTTCATCGTCCGTTTTGGCTCCAGGTCCGGACCTGTCGCTGTCGACGGCATGACCATGCTTCCGGTTAGACTATTAGCAGTGCTGTTCATAGCGTCTGTTGATGCAGCTGCTCGTGCATGCTCAGCGCCCCAGGCTGGCTGTGGAGGTGGGGGGTAGATCGCCCAGGATGCGTTGTCTTTGGGATTATCATCGGGGCCTTGAAGGGACAGTCCAATGTACCTCTTTCGAAGGTGCACAATACTTTGGATGTTCTTGGAGATAGAGCTGAGCTCAGCCGTGATATGGGGGTCTGTATCTGAGAATGCAGCAACACCAAGAGCTGCAGACTGGCTGGACATCGTCGGGTTTGCGTCAGACAGGTGACCCGTATTCAGTTGAGCTCCTTCTTGCGCGATATCGTGCAAATCGTTCTGGAAGGGGTTATTTCGAGGAGGGGGGGCCCCCTCTCCGCCGACCGATTGCCCAGGCGGCTGTGAAGGGTCCGGCAGCATCAAGTCTTCGCGAGCCGAGGTTTTCCCCCTCAACTGCCCTTTCTCTTGGCTTAATGGCGAAGAGTCCACAGCTTGATCGATGCCTCTTGTGCCCGCACTCGCGCCCGCGGAAACATCACGAGGATCTGAACCCACAATTACAGGGCTTCCATGGGGCGTGGAGTGACCTTGCGACCACACACCACTGCCGGTCCGTAATTGGCCAACCTGGCTCCTCTGATAGAATAACTTGGCATCTGCTTGGCTCATCTGGCGTTCAGCAACAGGGTCGTAGAAAGCGGTGCGAGTGGGAAGGTCACGAGGAAGCATTCCGTCTTGCAGACCTGACTCATCATGACTCTTATCGTTGTGGGTAGGGCGGGTGTTCACTGATGAGGCGTCGCCTTTGGTTTGCTCCTCTGAGCTTTCGGAGCCCGTGTCACCTCGGGAATCATGGGCGCCTAGATCACCCTCGGAATCCGTGTCCAGGTCATGAAGCGAGAATGTGTTGCCTCGCTTGGGTGAAGTCGAGGCAGAGGTTGGGTCTTGGGAAGAATATTCGGCGTCTGGTCGTATGTGATGTCAGTAAAGAAAGGCCGGCGTGGATGACTCGGGGGATGGAGGGGTGTCGATTGATCTATCCACGGTCGCTGGAGAGGGAACGACTTACCAGCGTGGAACACGACTTTCGCGTTCGGAAAGGGGAAGAGTACATACCAGCCATGACGAGACGCTGTTCAGACCGCACCGCGTTCTGTTGCAGACCTCTTCTCCCCAAGAAGAGAAATAGAGGTGGGAAAAACCAAGATATTGAGCGGCAGCGATGGTCCTATCGATAAGATCTGGGAGCATTATTGTACCGAGTACTTACATCAAATAAATGCGGGGTCGCGGTCGGCTCCGACCTCCGACACAGGATGACGCACAGGACGGAAACTGCAGAGTGAGTCCTGAACAGTGGCGGGGTCCCGAATGTGACGACCGGGGTAAAATTGTATCTGTACGGTAACTAGTAACTACGACGGATACCCTACTGTATGTGTTCTCAGCCGAAAGGCGAGACGGCAGTCGAAAAACTAAAAGCATGAGCCATGTTGTGCAGAGCCATAAGTAACTCGACAGCGTAGCGAAATCGAATGTTTTCACCATCGTTATCCGATTGACTACACCGGAACAGGAGCAGTACCGACAATGCGGATTTTGGGTTGCCTTTCTATTTCGTCCTCATTGTGTACAATTCTATACGCTGCCCATGTCTAAGTCACGAAGTCGAAGTGTTACCAGTGCCTTTTTGCACTCTTGAGGTTTTGGCCCTTGAATCAAGGGAGTAGAGCCCTCCTGCTCCAAACACAATCACAGCCCCGATTAATGTGCCCGCCGCCAAACGATTTCCAAAAAGCCAAATGCTGAGGAGCAAGCTGACTAGCTTGCGAATATTCAGCACGATTGTGACTGTCAGTGCTGAGGAAACAGCAGCCAAGAGGTTGACGCCTCGGATACATGCGTACTGCGTCAGGACGTTTGTAACGAGGTACGCAAGTTGGCTCGGAATGTGAAGCTTGGCCAGTCCCCCTTGCAAATCCTCGCCAAGGGTAAATCCAGATGTCTGTCCTAGCATCGGCAGAGAGAGAGGCGGGCTGTGGGCTAGACGCTGAAACTGTCGGGCGAGGGACGGCATGAAGGGCAGGAAGAGCGGCAGAGATAGCAAGTGGGAGTAGAACAGATTCTCTTTCCACTGTGGGCCGTATTTCTTGTACGTCTCCTCGGTGTACAGTCCCATGATAGCTGATAGGACCTGTGCCACGAAAAGTATAATCAGACCAGTCCCGAAAGCTGGTCGTTCACTCTGCCCAGCTGACTTGGTTGTACTCTGCAATCATGTAATGTGTTAGCATGCATCTCTGTATCATCTAGTTTGTCGTTACGCCTTACCTTGGATTGAGAATCCGACCACGCAGCAGTAATTACACCGAGCGTGAGCAGAATGACAGCCACAATCTGGATACGCGAGTATTTCTTCCCGTATAGAGACCCGGCGATCATTGTCGTTATGCTGCCCCCGGACCGCAGGATGATATGGACTGGGACAGAGATATCGTAGCTGAAAGCGTGATTGTTTAGCACATTGATGCTGAAAAAGAGCACAATGTTGATAAGCCAGCGTCGCAGGGGCACCTTGTTCTGTCGTAAGAAGAAGGGTGGTCTCGATCGATCGAACTGCGAAACGTAGCCGGTCACGGCTACGAAGAGGAATTGGACAAACGTCAACAGTGTTCCACTCGAAGGCTCGACTCTAACAGGAACAAGATGTGAGCGACATGCAGGACCAGGCGACGAAGGAGGGAGTGACTGTGATTTGGATTTCTAATTGACACTTACTTGATGATAGCTTCCAGGGCGTAGACCTAGACGATACGAAGTCAGCAAAGGCCGAATCAATTTTGATCAATGACAGCGCACATTAGAGCAGCATCCACCGAAGATCAGGCCAAGCATGACACCGACGGCAATCCATTGAGAAAAGAGGCCGACCATGATGCGGCTGGCGCCTTGCAAGGATTTCTCGGCGTCTGATGACTGTTGCCCATTCAAGGTCAGGCCATTAGCGAACTTGTCGTATGGAGCTCGAGCGTTGACGCTGGTGTCCATCTTCTCCGACGGGAGCGATGAAGTGCCTTGCGGCTGGCCGCGTCTTCGAGTTGGCGCCGGCGAGTTCATTGAGGCTATCGGAGCCTGTTAGAAACAAATTGTAGTTGGAGTGCAGTCGGAGTGTAAAACGTGCAGCGTATCCAGGAGACAGACAAGACGTGACCAATGACAGCTGGACAATCGGCCCAGGTGCGAAACTCAAAGCTGGCCGTGCAGTCCTGGGCACCTCACAGCGTCCCTTAAGGCACACTACCCACCCGCCTACCTTACCTAGGTTACCTCCACTATCTAATTCTAAGTATGTACACCTGCCACCCTGCCTTACTTACTTAGATGTTCACTACCTCTTTCGTGAAAAAAAAGAAGAAAAAAAGGGAGTCGGAGCGCAATTTATTTACTTGGGGCATACAATTACCCTCCTCTAGGTAGTAGGTGTTTTTCCAGCCTGACCTATCCGAACGTATCGCGCATCTCTAGCGTCAGGCCAAGATGTCCCACGTACCTTAGTGCCTAGCTAGACACGTAACCGTACAGATCCACGATGTCGGAGTATCGACCAGCAATTTGTCCAAGTGCTACTACATGACGGCACCAGTGCCAGACGCTGAGGACAGATCGCGGCGCGCGCTGCAAGTGATTGTGGGTTGACTGACCCCCACTTGCCTATCCTGGCTACCTAACTCGTCCTTCACACGCGATACCACACAAAGTAGTTGATCACAGCAGTATATCACGCTACGTACCTATTATCCATCTCATCAGGAGCTTCAGTTCATGGGCCCAGATAGTAGACAATAAACGTAGCCATGTGAGAATCTCGTTGCCTTCAATTCTGTTGCGGAAATCAGGGAGCTTCGCCAACCGTTGCATGGCCAGCGAGCCCATCTATCAGTAGTGCTTCTTTCATATCTGTCTCTCCCCAGGCGCCTTTCCGTCTCTCCTCTCCCGAGGTACCTGCATGATGGCCTGCGGTGTCCAACAGTTTCTGCACTGCTGCTTTCCTCGACCTCCCAGCCCTATATGGCAATAATGGCGGTGGTGTGAGCCGACCAAGGCCGAGACACAGATGCCGGATAGCAAAGCATCGTCTCAAGTCAACCTTGTCGAAGAAACCGACGCCCTCTATCCGCGTCTGCAAAACGCCTTGCTGCGCCATGTGCCGTCCATGAGCTTCCTCGCAAAATATAGACCTCGAGGGCCTGAAATTCATTGACTGACTCTATAGTGCAGAAAAGACAAATAACTGAGGAGGAAGGTTGTTAGCTTGCAATGATATCCGAGGCAATATTGACGTCACCATCCATGGGAGATGCTTACGTTGTTCGTCGCTGCAATGGCGATGCTATCCTCGAACGGGTGCCAACTCATGTGCAGGATTTTCTTGTTGAAATCGATCTGGTCGGCATCAGTTTCCTTGCGCATTCGTTGGCCTTGGCCGCCGGCTCCAGCAGCAGGACTGCCAGCACGAGAACCTCCCTTCTTGCCGCCGTTGGTGGCGGTTGGGCTTGTAGACGAGTTGATGGGTGTCGGCACGCCGACCTTCTTCGCTTTGAATGCAGACTTGTCAGCTTGTAAAACAACTTCAACCTCCTTCTCGGGGTCGGATGGGTAGATCATGAAGTTGTTGTTGTAGCTGCCAGTCATGACGTTCTTGGCATCGCCTGAGAAGACAACCTCAAACTTGTCAAAGATGCTGTCGTTCTCGTACGTGTCGCAGAGGCGTGGGCGCAAGTGCTCGTGAATTGGAATAGTCTTCACTGGCTGGCGCTCCATATTGATATCCCAGATCTTGACCGTGAGGTAGTCGCGCGACAAGATGTAGCGGCCATCGTAGGAGAAGCGCACGTCGGAAATAGAGGATATGATTTCGGAGAAAAAAGACCTAGAGGACGGGTCTTCTTCCTGTTCAAATACTGGATTTGGGCATAAAACATGTTAGCAGCAGTAAGACTATGATCGGCAGGAAGGAGGCGGACATACGCTTGGCGTGTCTGTCACAGAGAGCGCTCTCCCGCATGTCGGCAAGCTTGATGGTCCCCTTCGAGCTCGCGTACATAAACCAATTGCAGCTCAACGGGTGGAACTCAGCAGCAGTGATAACCTCAGTCAACTCCTCCATGTTGGCTGGCTTGATGTCGACAATGTTGAAGCTTTGATCTTGAATGTTGAGGTTCCACAAGTTGATGCGGAGGTCATCGCTGCTGATGAAGGTCTCGCCATCGCTATTGACGGATATGCTGTTGATGTGATAGGCATGAGCATTTGCATAGGTTCGACGGGGCACTGCAGCAACAACAGTGTCGTGGTGGGTAAGACGAGGCATGATGAGATCTTCCGCATTCTTGAAGCGATGGGCTGGGGTTTGTCTTGGTGCACCGCCGCCACCGGCGATATTCGCGGGCGTTAAGTCATCGGATAGGTTGTTCTCCGCGACAACCTTGAGCGACTTCTCGAAGACCTTCCACAGCTTGATGGTCTTGTCATTCGTTGAGAGCAGGTAGTGGGAAGCATTCTGGCGGCGGCACCACTTGATCTTGTTGATCTTCTCCTCGATTTCAAGGGATTTGAGGTAGTCGAATTCGGGTTCGTGAGACTGGAATTCCGTGTGGAACTTGTATTCGCAAGTCTTTTTCTATTCGAGGTTATTAGCCTGGCTCAGGGTCAACAGCAGTTGGCTCCGACACACCGTCTCGTTTCGCTCAAACAGAACAACTCTTCCACCCTTGTCTCCTGTCGCGAGGTAATTGCCCGTGTGATCGAACTCGACCGTCGAGATAATATCAGCTATAAGAGTACGTAGTCAGACAAACGGAACCTGGACACAGTGGGAAAGCGGCGGCTGAGCGGTATGGAATTGCCATGTTGGCCGCTGGAGGGCCCTTTACTACGGCTCACCTTCGGTGATGTCCTCCACATCGCCCTTGTCTCCAAAGCACCTATTGTACCATGTGAGCAATCACCCAAAGCGAGAGCGCGGCAAGTGACGAAGAGGGAATGGAAGTGGGCAAAGATGCATCTCGGATGAATGGGGAAGAAGAATACATACTGCGTGAACTTCCACGTGGGAGAGTTCGTGTCACTGTCCACCATCTTTGCTTTCCAGCTCCGGAGAGGCTTTGGTATGGTATATGGGGCTTTCGGGAATCAAGCGAGGCGGCGGGGCACGTCGAGAGCAGAGCGAGCTCTAGGCGTGTGGCAGGCAGGATGCTGTCGTTCAGCGTTGGGAGCAGACTGATAGGGCTGGTACAGGCCACAAGATCGACACAAGCAGGCCCAGGAGGCGAGAAGGTAGAGCAATGATTGATGGCTGTGGTCGAGTCGGGGGCGCGCAACTGGTGCAAAAACACGCAAGACGCTGACAAGAGCGAGGGGCAGTTGTGGCGGGCGGGCGAGCTGCGTTGCTAAAAGCGTAGAAAAGAATACGAAGTCGACGATCGGGGTTGGGCGGTCGAGCAAGACGAAGAGGAAGGGAGGAGACCAAGCTCAGGTAGGAAGGATGTAGATGGTTGGTTGCTGTGGCCTAAATTGAATTGGTTTGGCGTGGTTTGGTTCGGTATGGTCTGGACGGTGAGAAGGCGTACCCAGTCGACGTCGTTGGTAGAGTGCAGAGTGGATTTGCAAAAATCGACAGACGTCTGGATTTCGTCAGATGCAGCGACAGGCAGGAGCAGAAGTTAGGATTCAAAAGTCTGACGACCTGGAAAAGGCGTGGGACGGTGCACGGTATTGACGGGAAGGGGGGGTATCGCAGATGCGGGCAGTCAAGAGACAGGGTGCGGCAAGAATGCGCCAGGTTGAGGTTGGGGTACGTGTGTGGTGTGTGCGTGGGAGGTAGGTAGGTGTCTTAGGTACGTACGTATAGATAGGTAATGCGAAGACGCCTTAGGTAAGTAAGTAAGGAAGGTAAGGTTGGGCTGGACACATAGGTGGATATTTGACGCTGCCAACCCCTCAGCCTCTAGGTACGTAGGTAATGAGTAAGGTAGCTGAGAGCCTGAAGTACCTAAGTATAGGTAGTGAGTAGGATGGAATTCCTACCTCCTCACCACGCCTAGGGCCGTTGGACTCATCTACTACCTACGCTTGCTACGGTACCCTGCGGGCGGGTGTTTGTTAGGAACAAAAAACAAAAGTTGAACAGTGAACGACAGCAGCAGGGTTCGAACCTGCGCACCCGAAGGTACTAGATGTCTGAATTGTTATAATTCAAGTCTAGCGCTTTAGACCACTCAGCCATGCTGCCACATGTTGTTGAATGTAGTAATTTACACTGTGCTCAGGACGTTACATTTTGAGTTTATGTATCCTTGCCAAAGCTTACTAGCTTAATGCCCAATATTGTTATAGACGCAAAGCATGTATTACTGTATACAGGTAGCAGTGAGTTTCTGTGTAGATCTATGGTCCCATCATCATACAGACTACTAGCATCGCCTGTAGTGATTTAAGAGATTGGGGGCTTAACAGACCATCCTTCCGTTTTTGGTCGGCTGGGCACGTGCTGCTTTGCAAAATCCAGACGCTAAACAGAGGGAGAACCTCGGTTACATTTTCCAGCTGGCATTCGCCCAACTGCGTCGCCTGGGAATTCATGAGACCATAAAGCCTTCCTGCCGCTTTTGTGTTATCCCTCAGGAAATTGAAAAGAAGAAGAAAGAGGGAAAGGAAATCAAATCCATGCTCGTTTGCGATGAACCAAGACGACCATTCAGCTGCACCTGACTCCAAAGGCAAAGGAAAGGAGCCCATCCTTTCATCCCTGCCTCCGGACGACGGCCAAGACCAACGAGACAATCAGCAAGGTCACAGCTCTCAAGAAAACGGATCTTTCACTTCTCGCCTGGCCACTTCAGCTGCCAGTCTGTCTCGAACCATGTTGACAAGTCGGTGGGCCACCCTCTCCAGCGAAAGCACAGAAAAACCACAGTGGCCGGCCATCGCAGCGCAAAATCTCGCTCACCAAGAACACACGGCAACTTATCATGATGAGAATACGGTTGGGTCTAGTTCCAGGCCAACATCTCTTCAGTCGCGCCACTCATCTAGTGTGGCCGAACATCAATTCGTCGACTTCATGGACGCCCAAGCAGGTCCAGATGACGTGAGCCGATATCGACAACCAAAGGCTTTGATCTCCTCTCAACTGTGTGTCAAATCTGCCGTAAGTGAACAAGAAGCTCGAGATGGCCAGCAGGTCATGGATCTCCTGGACACGCCTAGCGAGCTACATATGTTCGATGACAATAACAGCTGTGAGGAGTCCTCTGTATCCCCTTGCACCAAGTCGTCACTGAGAAAGGCATTGTTCGGCGCCAGCGAAGGAACGAGCTCGAATTGGACCATGCTTCTTGACTTCCAGCCCAACCTCTTGATGGGAGACAACCTTGCTGAAATCCAACATCATTTCGGCGTTGTTGACCCGGAACAAGCAAAGGAGCTGTGGATGGACAGTTGGCGCGACGTCTTTACGAGCTACACAGACGAGGTCTGGGGAAATCTCGGTTCCCTCGCACGAGAGGCCCAAAAGGAAGTCGAGAAGGCGCGGGAGCATGGGCAGGGACAGGGGAGGACCGATATGAAGGCGCTCCAGCGGCTCAGACAGATTCTAGCGCATGTTCGGGGACCACACGATTAATACGACACCGAGGGAGAGGGACGTGAAAGGTCTTGGGACGAGAGGGTGGCGGCGGTGAGAGGTGGTGGTTGCTGGGCCAACTCGGCATGGTCCAATGACATCATGCGGATGGATGTCCATCTTCCCCAATTGCCCGCCGACCAGCCGCCAGCAAAGCCCAACCCCCCTCAATCGTCTTGGCCCTATCTCTCACAGGCTTGCTGAGCGTATGCATGCATCCCACCCAGGAGGCATGCACGGGGCTGGGGCTGGCCGTCTCACTGACACGATGCACACTGCCCGACGCAGCCGATCCCACCGTACGAAGGAGACCTCTGCCAGGGCTGGCTAGCTGACAAAGTACGGATATGGACCCGACCGTCAAAATCACACCAACAGGGAAGGTCCGGATGGCGCGATGCCCGTGCCTAGCGACGAGCTGGTGATGCATGTAGACAGGCTTTAACGTCGTATTGGGGCAGCAGCTAGGACCTGGAGAAATAAAACATTGCGGCTTTCCTCGCTATGGACGAAAGTAACCCGGTGTCTCCTTCTCTTATCGCCTCCCATCTACTTTGGGGCCTGATTCACTTCACCCCACGCTGCCTCACTTGCATTCTGCACCTACTAAGCTGTCGTACCGTAATAACCTACCTTGGTTAGAAACCTTGGATACCAGCGGGGGAAACCACACAGCGATCCAACCTCCACCCCGTCGCTGGCAACTAGCACGCATACAGACCTCCGACATGAAAGTTTCCATTTGGACGAAGCGGCTTATGCTGCTGTTTGCGACAGATCCATTCTTTGCGACCGCCAACCCGACTCCGGCCCGAACCCAGTCTGCAGTCCCAACCGCCGCCTACCGAGCTGGCGAAGCATTGCTGTTTAGGCGCCAGGATTGCCCTGCTGGAACAAGTCTCTGCTCCAGTTCCTTGGGCGAGGATTTCGACGGCATCTGTTGCGCGACGGGGCAGCTCTGCGCATATGATGACAGCAATAATGCAGCCTGCTGTCCCTCTGGGTATGAATGACCTCAAGCGCAAACTCTTGTGTTTATGCAAGCCATATGAGCGTTGAGAACTAACGTGCGCTATGCCGACAGAGCTGTCTGTACCGGCGCCGCTCCGACAACGGCACCGGCCGCTCCCACCGCCGTTTCATACGTGCCCAATTCTTACTTCCCGTTCCCGTTCGTCGCCACTTCCCTTGACCGGGGCGAGTGCTCCGACGCTGTTCAGCAGTGCTCCCGAAACTACGAAAGCTGCGTCACCCAACTGGACGGTAATACAGGCTTCGGCGTCACTGTCGTCATCCCCGGTGGAGGCGGCACCACCGTCGCCGCCACCCGGGTGGACGTCGGAACCTCCGCCACGCCGATTTGCGCCAGTCTAAGTTCTCGCGCCTGCCACGGCATAGCATACGACCAATGCTCACAGACGACAACAGTGGGTGGGGTCGTGATAAATGCGGCTGCCCGGCCGACACAAGCTTCCGTGGCTGGAATGGTTGCCGGCATCGGAGTCGTCGTCTTTGGCGTCATGCGATGAACTTCACTGCAGATGAACTCGTCGTTGACATGATTTCTTGAGTTCCCTGGGGCAGGTGACATGAGATCCCTCCTCTGCTTTTCATCTGAAGGTTGTGTACTGGAGTTCCGCTGCGGACACATGAGTCTATGATACGACGACAACGATACCACGATACCAAAGTTTTGCTTCGACAATACCATCGCCGCACCCCTCACCACGCCACTACCTTAGTCGTCGTTCCTTTCAACAGGTTCCCGTATTCCAAGAAACCTGCTCGTCACAGAGTCCGTCCACGCCTCAAGAATGTCGATGACAAACTCCAACATGCGGCTAAAGAAAAATAGGCTGACGAAAGAAAGGCCAGCAATGATAGCGAAGCAGATCCAGTACATCTTGGGTGTGTAGTGTTCTACAAGGCCTGGTATCTCAACGGAGAAGTAGCTAGTCATGAAACTTATGGGCAGAAAGAAAACGCTCAGCTTAGCAAGGAGGGTGGCGCTCCTGCTCAGACGGGCGGTGGCCTGGGAGTCCTTTTGAGCCGTCAGGTTGAAGTACTAAAAGATGCAGTATTTCTGTAAGCTTTCGATAGCGGCATTGTATTGTATGGCATATTGAGAGCCTACCGTATTTGACAAAGCGTCCAGCTCATCCAAGTACTCGTGCATTGTGTTCAGCATCAACAACTGCAACCGATCCTCGAGTCGTTCAAAGCGACCCCTTGCTGACGAAGATATCTTGACTTCATCCGATAGGCCGCCTAGTGACTCAAAGGCAGCACAGGGACATTGCTTGTGGCCGTCACCGCATCTAGGTCTACAGATGCGCCTTATGAGGCTCTTGTAGCTCTCAAACAGGTGATGAAGCTGGCGAAGTTCCCTCCTGAGGGTGTGCAAGGGTCGAATAACATCACCGCTCTTCAACTTGCTTCTCCTACTCTGCCTATACGTCAGTCTGCAGGAACTCTCCGAGGGATGGCGGAGCATTTCTAAATCACTTACATTGCTTGCAAGAATTTTCTCTCTCTATGATCCACATGGTCAGAAAGGTGTGCAAATTTGCGCATTTTGGTTGGTACTTGCCAGACTATGAATTCGATCGCGTGAAGCTGCCAGCACCGGTACCGCCCCTGAATAGTCCTCGAACAGGTAGAAGAACCTATATTTCAAGCATTCAGCACAGTCCAAAGAAATGAAGATTTTGTTTTTTCGCTGGAAGGGTGTACAATACAGGTTACTTGAGCCTTCTCGTGCGGCATTGCACCCGGGCCCTGCGGTAGGCAACGCTTGCCTGACCGATTTAAGTGTGATGACATTGTTGCTGTAGTCGTCGACACCATGTTTGGACAGTTGGCGAAGCACCGCCATGGTGTTGGACCGCATGCCTCTCAACTCTTCATCTGCCAGTTTCGCATCTTCTGGGTAGACATATGGCGGTGTCTCATGCAATGACAAGACAACGGCTGAGGAGGGTCAGAAGATGCCCGCGAGACGTCAACTTTCCGGCCACTTCGGATGCAGGACTTACAGTTCGAACAAAGCGTGAGCCATGACCAATGTTTTGGCGGAAGCAAACCTGCCTTGTCTTCCGCATGTCTAGGGTTGATTGGTCGACGGTGTAGCCAGTTTGCACCAATGCAAAGGACTAAAGACTGGTTAATGGTCCCTTTGAAGCGTCGGAGACACGCGTTTCACGACATACATTGCTTTCCATGATCTATGGAGGTATAGTTCATTGTTTCCTTGACTAGGTGATAGATTTCAATGTCTTCCGACATCTGTATTCGGGCGTCATTTGGCGAAGCACTCTTAGCCTCCGTTGATGAGGATCCAGCTTCAACATCCGCGCGGTTAACACGATGGACAGAAGTCGTAGTTTCTGCCATGGATGCCTTCGTAGCAGACGTCATGAGAGCCTGAAGTCGCGGTGAAAAGCTATAACGAGTACCAATGCACTCAATAGCTGGACGCTGTGTACTCGGTGACCAAACGTTGATCCACCGTATGACCCCGTCGGGTGGTTCGTGACCCAGAAGAATGCGAAAATCATCTGCGCTCAGGTCGAAGGCTATGGTGGCTTGCTGATGGCTGAACTCAACAACAAAGTTACGGGCCTTCTCACTATCCGTCTCGCCCACAGCCTTGTCGTAAACATCCTTCTGGTCAAGGTCATGAAACTTGATGGGCGATTTCCTTGGCCTATGGGCTGCCATTTTTGCGTGGGGATGGTGACCAGGAAGTTGTCAAGTGTCAGGCGACGGGAACGAAACGGGCGAGGACGTGGAATATATCGGAGGGGGAAAATCTCATCGAGAGCTGTCTCTCGTCAGATCAAGCATGTATCTCCGCCCTGCGGCTGAGCATCGTGGCTAAACAAATGACCCTGTTGCGCTGTCTCGTTTGATTTGCTGAGTTTCTCTGGGATGCAGGCGACATTGTGTTGGTTCCCGGCGGTTAAAACCGTCGGCGCCTAATTGCGATGGACAGCATGCAAACCGCATTAGACAAAGACAGGGGAGTAAACTTAAGCAGTCTCCAGCCGCTCGACTGGAGAAAATTCATCACGCCATCCGAACCTCATGTTTTCATAGCAGCCGATAGATCTGCTTCGCTTAATGAATACAGCGCTCTACCCGCAAGCCCTCGTCAAATCACTGTGTGACAGAGTCTACTACAGGGCGCACAGAACACATGTTAACCTCGCCACAGCAAATGCCCCAATACCTCCCCTGGAGCCTCGACTTTATCGCCCAGAGCCAGCTCGATGAAGTTCCTGGCGACTGCCTCGGCCTCTTGGAGACGTGCCTGATCCTCGCCATCCAATTTGGCACACGCTGCCCCAAGATCTTCGTTTCGCGCCAACAACAGTATAATCGCTTCCGCTCGCTCCACTACTGCTTTGCTGACCCCATTGAGTGCCGCGCAATTGCTACCGAAGCTAGATATGCTTCTTCCAAGACGAAGGTCGTAAAGGAAAACTACCTGGTCGTCTATTGGGGCAGCCAGGTCGAGACGCACGTCCATGTAAGCAAAGGTTAGACCTGGCCGGTCTCGCAGGTATCCGCCTTCGAAAATCTCATGACAATGCGTAGTTATGAGTACCTTAGGCGCATCGGTACCGAGCGCAGTGAAGTGGTCCATGAGTCCTGCCATAAGCCCGGCTCCATCGTCGGCTGTAGTACCCTTACCGAACTCGTCAATCACGACGAGACTCCGGCGAGTAGCATGCCGCATGACAAAAGCTCCTTGTCTCAAGTCAGTCCCAAAAGCGCTTTCCTTCTGTGACACGCTCTCCCGCGTCGAGATGCGAGTGAGAATCTGGTCCGTAATTCCTATTGTAGCAAGACTGGCCGGGACGAAGCTTCCAATATGGGCTAGGTAGACAATAAGAGCGACTTGTTTTATGTAGACGCTCTTGCCCGAATGATTAGGCCCAGTAATGACGAGTGCCGTAGTTTCGTCATGGTGACCTCGAGGGTTACCGGAACCCCCCTCTAGCATGCAATCATTTGCGATGAATGAATGTACGGCCAGTTCTTGAAGCGGATGGCGTCCGCCCTGGATGGAGATGACATTGTCGGTTGTCATTGTTGGAGCCGTCCAGCCATAATTCCGAGCCCCCCGTGCTAAAGCCACCAAACAGTCGAAGTCGCCACACGCATCCGCGGCGTGGTTTAGGACGGGGGCATGTTCAAGAACCTCGCAGGCGAGGTTGTGAAGAATCTGTATCTCTAGGTCTTCGCCAAATCTTAACCAGGTCTTCTCGTTAGGTGCCCAAACATCAGTACGTACGTACCTACGATTCCCGAATAGGGGTCACCTAGTTGAGCGTCCAGTTCTGCCATGCGGCGGTTCTTGAAATAGACGCTACCCCCGGTGATGAACATAACTTCCCATCTGTCATCATAAAGCTCTTGTCCCATGTACGCGGGTGTGCCATCTTGGCGAAGAGAGACCACCGTGAAAAAGCCTAGCTGTGGCCAAAAGACGCAGCCAGTGACATATGGCTGAGCCCATTCAGGGAGTTCTTGTGACATTGAATTGCGTATATCGTCCAGAAGGGAATCCAAGCCCTGATAGTCATGCTTTAGTTTGTCAAGCTGCATATTGACATGGGGCTTCACTGCAATCCTCGAGCTAGCCTTGACTTCGTCAAAATCGATAATAGAATCGACTTTCTCAGCGACGCCTTTGATGACACGAGCGGGAATAATAGAAAGAACCTGATAAAAGATATTAGCAGGATGAAGGGATGTCTAGTCATATGGAGAACTTACTTGTTGTACGCAAGCAAGGCCATGCGTGTGTTGCAACTGCAGCATGGCATCTCGAAGTTGAAGAACAGCAATCGAAAATCGAGTCAAAGACCACCAAACACCACGGCCAATGGCTTTTCCGGTTGGCATATCTGCTCCTCTTCTTAACTGTTCCAGAGGCCTTCGTACATCCTGAATCTTCTTCAGCGCTCCGCACACACTTTCGAGTGCCTCTGCATTGTCGGACTGAAGCAGGACCGTGACAGTTTTCTGCCTCTCGCGGATCGTGTCAAGATTGATCGAAGGGCGCAAGAACATTTGCCGCAGTTTGACCTTCCCTTGAGGAGTGCTTGCGAAGGGATGAAACAGACCATAGACTGACAGGCTCTCTTTTGAGCAGGAGCCCGCTGTGGCCGAGCCAGACATCAACCTGTTCGGATGAAGTTCGGATTGGAAAACTTGGAGCGAAGAAATCGTTTCATCGGTAACCAGCATAGAATCCGAAAGGGCAAACATCTGAATCGAGGCTACCGGTACCCTTAACAGACCATCAGCAGCGTTGCCAATGCGAGCGATTTCACCCAAAACGGCCCCGGCACACCCAATCTGGCAGGTGTCAGCCCACTAGAGCTCGCCTCTTGATAATTCAAAATTTGAACCTACTGATGAAAAGCAATCGAGGTCGACGAATGAGCCAAGGCGCATGAGCTTGATATTTCGACACCCACCTTGCGCGACGTCATTCGGCAAGCCACCGGTAGCAGTGTTCACCACAATTGGCCCCGAACGGATAGGTGGCAAGTCTATCAACTTATCGATGGAGGCCTGGTGGTTGAACTCGTTCGAGCCGACAGTTCGCAGGAGGTAGCGCTCAGTTCCGGGATCGTCTAATCCGTGCATTGAGCGTTGTTCCGCAGTATCGTCACGGAGGAACCTACCTTCACGGGGAACGACCTTGTGCTCTTCGAAGAAACGAACCACCTCATCGGGCATCTTCAGGGGTAACACAACCACCGTCGGCTCGACATGAACCATGAGAAAGTTGATAAAAGTAAGCAAACCGGTGCCGGGTGCATCGCGTAGTAGATAGATAGTATCCTCAGAAGTCCTGTAGTAGGCGCATCCAAGAGCACTCTTGTCCTTGACATCAACAGCCATGACAACCTCATCGCACCAGTGTTCTGGAACAGCTGCCTCCCCGGAAGAAGGCCACTGTCCATGAGCGGGCAACCGTGGCTGCGCCGAAAAACCGGGGTGCAGACTTCTAGTCGGAGACGATGAAAGACCATCATCAGGCAAGTGTTGTTGCAAAGCCGAAATCTGAACTGATGCGGCAGCGCGTACGCCCTGACTCGACCGGTCTCCGCGGCGTACTGAGTGAGCACCCCGTGGAGTAGGAAAAATGGGCGAAGTACGAATTGGCCCGACAAGACTGGGACTGCGTCGCTGGCGGTGCTGAAAGGGGCCTCGCAAGATGGACGGAAGTCCTGACTTGCTACTCGAGCTGCTCCTCAAACGAGATTGACCGTATTGAGAGTGGAGGCTAGGCGCGCCACTGGCAGACATTGCGGCACTCTTGAGGTTTTGATCGAAGGTTGATAGAGGCAGCGAGTAGAGGAGAACACGATGTTGTTGTTTGTCAAAATCAGACGCCCTCAGGCAAGAAGGATAGAAGTATTCTACTTTGGCAGCGGTGGCCTGAAAAGGGCGTGGCATACACGTACTTGCCTCACTGGAACAAGGAAAAGAAAATGTGGCAGGTGCAGGTCTCCAACCATGCATCTCCGTCTCGTGCGAGGAAGGTGTACCCCTCGAGGAAGTAAGCGACGGCCAGACGTTACGGAGCCTGAACTCATACAGGCGGAAGGGCAAGGCGGTAGTGAGTATTACAACTACAACACAAACATCGTTCGGCCAAGAGTGTCCATTCATCCGACATTACACATACATCATCGAACAAGAACCAGGGCTAGTTCGTGATGTGCGTTTTTGTTGAATCAATTATCCACTAGTATCATATTTGGTGGTCTAGTCCGGTCGAGAAGAAGATCCATGGATACTTCGTGGTGACCGCTTCCAGATATCTGCAAACCAGACTGCTCTCATGGCGAGGCAGTGGTTGCTTGGGTCTTCTTGTCGTTTTTAGCCCAACTGGCGAAGTCGTCCTTCTGTTTCCTGATATCGACGAAGCCCGGCCGGCTCTCAAGAATTCGAAAGGGGTTGCCCAAGTAATCTTTCTCAACCTCACCGCTGCCACTGAGGAACCCTGCCTCACCCTCCCTCTCAATTTTGCCAGCCCAGACGCGCCATTGAATCGGTCGAAGGTTCGGGGCACCCAGTACAAGTCCCAGTATAACGATAATGGTCGCGACTGCCGTTTCGATCGTGATGTCTGCGGGTAGCGAGGTCGTGGCTGAATCAGGTGACGAAGACAAAGGCGATGCGGCTCGGAATGATTGTAGTGCCGTATGCTCCTGGGCTGAATAGCAACTGTTGCATAGGATACGACGTCAGTCATGAACGGCTGCGGAGAATGCGAGCATGGTCGAACTCACGCGTGACCCAGCAACACAAGCCCAAAGGCAGCAATGGAGCGAGAAATCCACGTCATGGTATCTTCATGCGTCGTGATGCGTATGGCGTCAAGCGAAAGCTTCCTGGGGCAGTGGGCGAAGATGGAGTCAAGGTGCAGGTCTCATCATTTGCATTTGCATAAATCACATAACAGGCAATTAGGTAGGTGTCTAACTTACCTCGGACATGAGCCGTTATAAGGCTAAGCGAGCTACGAGCCGTGCGGCTGTAACAGAGATTATGCATTTAAGGGGGTTCAGACGCCGCTGAAAAATGTACGAATTCGATCTCTTGGAACCTCGAATTACGTTTCGACCAGAGCAATGGCCGGCCGTTACATGATACCTTAGCCCTTCAACATCGATGGGTGAGCCACAGGTCCCCAACGCGTTACAAACCCCCAACACGTCGCAACGCCCATGCAGAAAACTCGATGCGCCTTGGTCGTTCGCGGCCGCCGTGCATGAGACTGAGGAACGGATATCGGCTCCCATCAGTGGTAATAAGTAGTTATGCGCCACATTTGCCACCATCTCGGCCTCGGTCAAGGATACAGGATCAGGATGCTCAGCTTGCAAAGGATACTCGCAACGAGGCCCTCAACCTGGTCGCAGACGTGTAAGGTCATTTCTACTCTGCTCCGGGGGTTCGACCGGTGTCATACAATGCTAATCTCCATGTTGATCCAAACTCCACCTGTAAAACAGTCACATGCCATCCAAGCACGAGAGAAAACTCCCCGCAACCCGCACATTTATTGCTTGCCAGCTCATTCCACGCTGAAAACGCGAGATTCACCTATCACAGCGTGCTGTATCAAGTTGTACTCACTCTGGCTGGTCTATCCAGTTGTTGAAGTGGCTTCCTTCAAGCTCCTCCACCCTCCAGCTGCTCTCTTGCCCCCGCAGGATCTGAAGCTGCGGATCATGCATGAGATTCTCATCATAGCCTGACAGACCGTCGAGCAGGTCCTGTCTGCCGTCGCCGAAGCCAAGCGGATTCGTCCATCTAGGCTCCAGCATGGGATCCCCATACGGATCACCATATGGATGACCTCCATGGCCCATCAAACCCGGATCGATCATGGGCTCAAGGCCGTCGTGGTGGGACATGGGTCCGTACTGGCTCATACCGTCGAAGCGGCCATCCATGGGTGGGGCGGAGTAGCCCATTGCCGGAGATGGCGTCTTTCTGATAAGAACGTCCTCGACAAAACCGGTGGCGTCTTGTCGTTGATGAACGCTCTGCTGGTAGTACTGCCCACCAAGGCCCGTCTGGCTGTACGGTGCTGGCAGAGGCTTGCCGGGGTTGCTGTAGTGATACATGGACTGAGTCTGCACTCCAAGACCCATCGGGCTGCCTGAAAGCGGGGGATAGTTGTGAAAGATTGATGCCGGCGCATCGTTGCGACCGTTTCCCGGCTTCTTGATCTGTCTGCTTCTCGAGCTTGCTCGGCTGGCACCCCATTCGAGATCTTCCAAATCACCCTCCTCGGAATCTCCCTCTCCGTCCCTTGCCTTGGGCCTCGGTTTTGACGGTGTGAACTTGTAGCCCGGATGGGCTTTCTGATGATTAGCTCGCTCCATCTTAGCCCACTCGTTGAATTGATCGCGGACGTGTTCAGGCTCCAAGGGCCAGCCGCTGCCGCAGACCTGAGATACGACTTGGTGGTTATTTTGCGTGCAGAGACTCTTGGCCAAGTTCTGGTACGCCTTGCGATACAGCATGAATGCGTTCATGGGCCGTTTGATCCTACCGGGCGTCTTGCTCTCTTCTACCTCTTTCAATCGTGTCTCCGCCGATCGCTGGACGTAGGCCTCGATGTCAGCCACGGGCACTTGAGGCTGCTCTCTCGCCAGCTCGCTCAGTGGCTTTTGGAGCCCGTCAACCTTCTTGGACGATTTGGCACGCTCCTTTTTCTTCCTAGGGGTTGATTTCTCAACGCGGCCAGTGCGGGTTGCCAGAGACTTGCTGATAGAAGGCCCTTTGTGAATGTTGAGTCCGCTTCGGGTTGTTAGCACATCAGACGCACGGGAGGGCGTCGGCGGTGATGTGTCAGGGGTACTGTAGGGCTGTGAAAAGACTTGTGAGCTACTTCACATCCACTTGTTGCTGCGTTGATTGCGTACCTGATGGTTTAGGTCTCCGGAGAGCGGTCCATAGAGTGAGCCACCACTGGTATCATAGCCCGTGTGGTTGTACGAGTGCTTCAGTAGGTCAGTTTGGTCCGTCTTCTAGCGCGTTTGACGTGGCTGCTACTTACCATCTGGCTCTCGTGTCCGCGGTGGGAGTACGGAGAGGTATGATCGTATGGCATGTCTTGTTGAGGACCAGGCGTACCGTATCGAGATGGCGTTTGGTATCCACCCATATCATTTGGGTGCAGATGCTCTCTTGGATACGATGTGGTTCCGGTCGGTCGTATCATGTGATGCAGTCCGTTGGTGTAGATGTCATCGTTTGAAGGAGCTGGAGAAGGTGGGCCGTTGTGTGCCATTCCAACAAGTGAGAGAAATGGTAAATGACGAAGAGAAAAGACTGGCCCGTCAGATGATACCCAACTACTTGATAGTCGATGGAAATGTGGACAGGTATGACGAAATGAAGAAGAGGTTGATGATGGGGGTAGTCCAAGGCTTCAAATGAGCTGGGTGTTTCGCTCTTTGGTTCCCTGGAGTTACCACAACAGCCCTTTCTCGTTTCCAATCCTCAAGTGGAGATATTCTTGATACTTGTGGGAGAATCAAGTGGTCGCAGGACGACCCAGGTGATGAGGGTGGGACAAGGCTCGACCAATGTGAGTGTTGCACAGCACAGTAGCCCGGTAAGGTGAATGCTTGAGGGGAAAGCAGCCGGCAGCTGTGAGATGAGAAAGGATTGAAAGTTGAAAGGGGAGCTGCACTGCAGATATCTACATTCAGCAGATGTTGAAATTATTGCAGCTTGGCGGGGGGTGTGCTTGGAGGGTGGCGTGTGCATCAAGTTGCACGATGGGAGGAGGGCAAGTGAGGAGTTCGGAGAGATGGCAACTGTTGGTAATCCTGCTGACAAGGAGAGGCCTGTTGAGTCTCTCGCTCCGTCTCTGCTCTACTCCTGCGTCTGCTGGTGTATCTGCCACTGGTGTCCTTCTGGGGAGCTGTCTGTCTTGTATTGCAGCTGCAGCTGCAGGTGGATGAGGTGCAGGTGTGGCTAGTGCATGGGCAGGTCCAGGTAATGTTCTGAGTACGGGTGACAGCCTCAGAGTTGAGGTATGGCCAAGGGATGCAAGGTCTGGGAATGGAGTGACGAATACCTCGCAAGCAGCCGAAGAGCAGGGATCAGGCAAGTGATCTAGGACCGTTCCCCTGGGACGCAGGATGCGACGACAATGTCAAGCTTGAGATTTGACTGAACGAGCTTGCTAGGGAGCGGCGGTGAGGTGAAGACTGGCCAAGCATGAAAGGCTCTATGAATAGCCTGTCGTCTTTGTGACAAGGGGGTTTTGCTTGCTTGAGATCGAAGCTAAGTGATGGTCTTTGATGATATCGCTCGATGCAGCTCTCTCTTCCTTCTAGCTGGGTGCTCTGTAGTTGTCGATGTCAAAAGCGGACACCGGGAGTCTCTTCGGTAATTCGTGTATATTGATGCTTGTCCGATCTCCCTTCAGTACTCCAGTAGAGTTGTTCGGTATGCTGGGTCAGTTGTCTTGCCGCCTTCTCTTTCTACCCTCTCGGTTCTTTCTCCTCTTCTGTCTCCTCTTCTGTCTCTTTGGGTTCCTTCTTCTTGTCGTTGGGAACCTTGGCAAGGATAGCCCCCTGCGACCTGGAGAGTAATAATGTTCCAACGTGATGGGAGTGATGGTGGTGAGGGCAAGTGGTAATCCGAGTGTTGTGAATGGTACGGGTGTGATGCTGTACCGATCACCGGTCAGGGAAGCCGGGTCCAAGAGCCAAAGCCAGGGTCAGAAGCATCCGGGAAGCGAAGTGAAGCAACGCAAGTCAAAGCCCAGGACACCTTGTCTTTGTCGTAAGAGGAGATTCATTCATTGAATCAGATGCTAGGTGGGAGGAATGAAAGAAAAGCATCTGGCTGGGCTGGGTGGTTTTATGTGTACATGTTACGCATGTGCATCTAAGGCGACCCTCTGGTTCTCTTGCCTTAGCCTCTGTCGTATGCCGTCGCTGGCTTCTCTGCGTCCGAAAGAGCATCTAGCTGATTGCCGCATTCGGATGTGGGTTTGAAAGCGGCGCCGGGCGGCCGTACACCAGCCTTACCCTACCTTAGGCAAGGCACATATCCTTAGCAAGCCCCGGCCGCTGCTCGTCTGTCTATCTGTTTGGCCGTCTTCGGTTAAGACGAATGGGTTGTGCCTCTTCTGCTGTCATGGTCCAGGCTAATATGCCGTACCATGGGAGCTGCCATGCAATACCCTGCAATGCGCCCTGCCTAGCACTCTGAGAACCAAAGGAGCTGACATTCAAGAGAGTGTAGCAGCCTCGTAATAATCATAGAAACAGCCCGGACTCGCAGGTCTTTGATTGTCAACGACCAACAGGGAATTAATCATGGGCAGGGATGACGGCGCCGGGGGAAGGGGGGCATCAGCCGTGTGATGTGATGCTTGCTGCCGGAGTGGGCACCTACGTGCGCCTGTTTACGGATGGATATCCATGTCTTGCTTCTCTTGTCGTTGGCAACAGGGCAGTGGCCGCTGTTGGAGCTGGTGCCTCTCGGGGCAGCACCGAGCAGCCATTAGCTGACCCATCCATCCTGTGCCATCGCCATATCTTATGTTGGCGAGGGTATCTTCACGGGAATCGTGTCTGACCATGTTCCCCCACCGGTTCGCGCTGGTAACCGAAGAATGTGGCGGTGGCATTTTCTCTGTCGGCCAAGCCCAAGACTTCTAGAGCGGATGGGGTCAGCGTGGACGTTGTCTTTCCTCCTTCTCTTGCCCCTGCTCATGTCTCTTCTTATTCTTCGCTCACATATTCCGATTTCTTCCCTCAGCTCTATTTCCATTCAGCCGCTGACAATGTGTGTGCTATCGCCCTTCGTAACTCACACCTCCTCCCTCAGGCCGTACCGTGTCATGGGGGCCAACATGTGGCTCAATCTCCCCCACCCTTGCCCTCCACCCCCGTCGTTTTGCTTGCCATACCATGACAGAACAATCCAGGCGGGAGACAGACAAGAGACCAGACTCAATAGGTTTTGACTGTGACTGGGGCGGAGAGCAGGAAGAGATGAGGTTCGGGCCCGGAGGCGGGCCCAGGCCCAGTGAAAGGTAGCTAGGTCTAGGGAAGCAGGCAATGCCGGGGCCCAGCCAGTGGACTGGGAAGGTGCAGGGTAAGAGCAATGCAAGGGGACGCGAGGCGAGAGGAGGCGAGGGCGACAGAGGGGGAGGCGTTGGCACCAAAAAACCATAAAAAAAAAAAAAAGCTGTTCAGTTGGTGAAGTTGGGTTAGAGAGGCTCAAGAGGAATGTTTGTTTGCTCGAATCGGTACATCGGGCTGTCTGTGCTGCCGGAATCGTTGGTGGCGCCTGTCCTGATTGGCCTAGTCCAAGAACAGCCTGTGGCGCGTTCAGTTCTTTGATCCTGACAAGTTGAACTGACACCCGACACAGTGTGGGCTGTCATCGCCCCGCTCTACGCATAGGTAAGGTAATGTAGGTGGTAAGGTATGGTACCTACATTAGGTACCTTCCTTACCTTAGGTGGTGCCTACTTACCTAGGTACGTGCAGGGCACTTGCACCAGCCCCAGGCCTGCAAGGGCGACCACGCGCCAGGTGCAGGAGCATACGTACCTAGATAGGTACGGATACTGAGGTGCGCGAGGTACTGTAAGCCCAGTCACGTGGCGGGTCCAAGACGGGTGCGGGCAAGCGGGTGTGGTAGGTAAGCGGAGGTAGAAGACCTTCCTCGTCCATGTCCATGTCATCCCGGGCACCCCCATCTTCTATTCCCGTCTATGAATGCTACGCAGCAAGCAGGATCGATTCCACACAACACCTCCTTGCCTTCTCTAAACTCTTACTTGACCTACTTTACCCACTGCAACTGTTCATATTGCGCACCTAGGTACCTTACCCAACCTCATCCCTCACCAGCTAAGTAAAACCACACTTGTCCCGGCAGTCCTCCCGTCATCGCCGTCCTCGCATCGTCACCTGGCTTGCTGTCTTGCTGCTTGCCTTGGGTGTACTAAGTGCACTCAGTTGGCGATAGACACACATCACAGATGGCTGCTCTCCACCCCAACCAACAGACTGAGTTGGGTGAATCTCGCGTCCGCATCTGTGTCTAAGGTAGTGTAGGTATGCCTGCACCAAGCTGTAGTTGGGTGAAGTGCTTGTGCAGTGCACTCCACATGACCTCACCAGAGACTCAGCTGTCGTTCCAACACCCCCTCCGTTCTCGCCAAACCCCGGCTGCCCGCTACCAACCATCACCCCTGCTGCGAATCCGATTCCACCATTTCCCATTCATAGCCAATCTGAATAGGACGCGCTGGCGAATCAACGAGCTGTTACCCAACATTCCGCACCGCGCCATGTGATGAGGGTGGGTGACAGAGGAAGGATAGATTATGCTGACTGAGTACCTAGAGGCAGTAGACACCCACCTCTCGCGTGTTTGATCCGTCCTGTAATATGAGTTGGCATACTGTTTGTCTTGTTTGCCGCCGACATTTATGTCGTAAGCTGGACCTGGAGTCCCGATTCCCGGGCCTAGAACCCATTGTCGGTGCACGTATTCCAGTTTTTAGGAGGGTCCTCCTCATTGAGCCCATGGACGCTCGACAAGTCAGCTGGAGACCGAGACAAAAGAACGAACCGTACCTACCTACCCAAGGTAAAGTAGGCACCGTCCGGCATCTTCGGATAGCCCGTCTTGTGCCACTACCACTCCCACAACCACTGCCACCAAGGCAAGGCAGTGTGCGGGCGACAGAACCGATGGTGCCGCCTCAGGCTCGCTCGACAGCTCGTCTCCTCCGGATAATAGTGTCCTTGCACATCGTCAACCCCATTCCAGAGCCAGTAGAAGAAGCTACAAGCAAGTGCTAAGACGAGCCAGCCTGGAGCCGCCATCGCAGCCGGGAATGGACTTTGCGCGCATCCTCTGAGCCAGTCGCCTTCCTTTCCTGCGGCGCTTGCGGCTTACGTCTGCAGCTATAGCGCGCTACCTGCCCGGCCATGCCTCTGGATCTGGCACTAGACTAGACGCCGCCAAGGAGATTTTCTTCTCCAAACTTTGCTTAGCTTAACCTCTCCGACCCGGGCCTGACTCTTAAGATACCTAGGTACGGGTAGTATGTCGCCGACCTGTCTCACTGCTATCCTTTCCGTTTTCTCTCTTTCTGTTTTTGCCTCCGCCTTTGGCTTATTCCTCTCTTCATGCAGAGCTCTCCCTCGAGGGACTGCAATATTCCCGCCCGTTCCCGTCTCGTACCATGCACGTGGTAAAGCATGGTCTTGGCTCTTCTTCCGTTCGTTGGCAACCTGCATATCAAGGCACATAAACATCGATACGCTCGGTTTACGACCAGTCGAATGTCTCGTACAGCCCGTCTTCACATACAGTTGCCCAGAGACCCAGCCGCAGTGCGTTACCATGTATGAGGGCCGTTTGAGCTCCCACCCGACCGCCAAGTTGACGGGCTGTTTGCTGGCATCAGACATGTCCAAGGCGAATACTCAATCAACATCTCAGTAACTTCATGTCACTTACTCAAGGCCAGTAGTTTTGCCATGGGAAAAGGCTAGCGGTCAGTCGTGACTGCCATGACACTGACGGTCGCGCTTTCCGGACAAGGCAGGCAGAGGTTATCTCTCGCCGAGGGCATCTGACCGAGACATGCGAAGCCGATCGGTCGGACACCCCATGAGAACCGGGATGTGCGCATCGACAAATGTGATGCGTCGCGCGTTTGCCAATTCAATTCCCGCGTACAAAGTGACCGCGTTGAGATCACTGTTCAATCCAAGGTGAGTAGACCGCTGTTGATACTCTTGGTCTCTGGTCGCAGAACATAGCCTTTACGGCGGACTCCATGTGCCAAAGGCTCTTGAATAAACGTCGTGAAGGCTCTTTTGGTCATCCACACTCTATTGGATCATTCGTCATACACTTATCCAGCCACATCCTTCCACTGCCACGCGAGCTGCCATCGAACCTAATATAAATCCGTGGTCATGCCAGAAAGAATGCCCGTGCGTCCTCAGGCTGATCCCCTGTCTACACTGCCTCATAAGGACATCTCGAGACCACATGATGAAAGAGGCATTTTGCATCACCATCAACCTCTTGCTGCTGCCGCGTTCCCCATTACCCATGTGTTTTGCTCAGATGGCGCCGGGAGTCGATCCTGGAGGCAGCGATCGCCGACCTGGCTCTGTAGACTTGATCGGAGGCGTCAAAATTTGCTGACGTGGGGACGGTGACAACGTCGCTACAGGCGGAAGGACAGCAGGCAAAGCAGGTGTCTTGATGCTGGGAGGTTGCGGACGGGGCAGAGGAGGTGAATGCTTCGTCGGGGAAAGCCCAGCTTCAGCTGAGGGTAGTGTGAATGATGAGTGCGCTGAGCCAGGAACGCCATGTTCGCGACTGATAACCGGTGTTGCTGTCAAGCTAGACACTCCTGGCCTGGGCGATGAAGTATCTGCAGGGCCAGGAGTTGCCTCCAGTCGAGTGGGGCTCGACGATAATCCATCGCGACCAGTTGATACGGACCCGTTAGCCATGAAGTGCGCTGCAACATCGACTGAGTCATCAGCCTTGGGTGTCGCTGGCTCATTACTGCCTTTTTTGCCTGATTCTCTCTCTCTGACCCGGTCTGACGGTTCCGATGGTCCAGCGACTGGCGTAACAACAGGAGACACTCCGTCCAAGGTTGTCTTCCCGTCTTGTGAGTTGGACTCAGGCTGGGTAGTCTTGTCCCCAGAGAAAGAGGTTGATTGCGTACTCTCATCGGTCTGAGTAACGCTCGGTCCATCCATCGGTTGTGAGCGTGATGAAATTTCGACAATGATTCCAGCAGATGGCCGAGGACTATGTGCTGTGGGGAGCTGGCTGGCAGGTGACGAGTCGGAGGGTCGACTGACCTTCAGCTTGATTGTCGTCCGTGGCCTTGCAGTCGCCTCCTCCGCGCGTCGCCGGCAAGTCTGACAGACGAAGTGGAATTCTGTTCTCTCAGCCTCGGTCTCACTTATGCCTACGCACTTGCTGTGCTGCCAGACATTGCACTTCTCGCAGGAGATACTATGCGTCCCATCATCTACCTGGCCATAAACGCCACAAATGCAGTCGAAGATCCAGTCATCCTCTTCGTCTTCGTCATCGAGCTCCTGAAGCGCACGCTTGTTCTTCTCTATCTCAGCCTGCAGTCGACGTTCAGATACGCGACCTGAACCACTGCGGTTGTCTTCCGAAAGCTGAGAGAGTTCCCTTTCGTGCTGTGAGCGCCGGGCTTCCCGCTCTTTCAGGCGCTTTTCACGGGACAACAGCCTCGAATCTCGCTCTTTTTCGAGTTTGAGCCGTTGTTGCTCCTCTTTCCTTGCAGCAACTTGTTGAGCCTGGACCACTTGGGCCTCCTCCTTAGCCTTCTCCTCTTGCTTCTGTTGTTCGACTTTGCCAGCGATCCTGCTTGATCGTTTGGCATTCGCCATTTTCGCCAAATTAAGAAGCTCCTTCTCGCGTTGTTGCTCTTTGCGTTTCCTCGACTCTTCTTGCTTCTCCAAAATGGGCAGCAGGTGGTCTCGCAGAGAGTCTCGCAGTATCTTCTCGTTGTCGTCCTTGGTCTTGTGAAAAGAGGCGATAAGCCCTTGGACCTCTTCTAGGGTCACAGCAACACATTCCCACTTCATGCCACCGAGACCGTCGTCCTCGCGAGTAGGCGAAGGCGCTTCCGTGGATTCGCTTGGGGTTTGATCCGGTTCATCGGCAGCCTCTGCTGCAGAGACGCGGCGTCTCTTGTTAGACCGAGAGCCGTACTTGGTCGGCTTGGACTTCTTCTTCGGTGTTACTTGTTTCGGTGGAGCATCGGTGAGGCGGTATACCCTATTGTCATCGAGGACAAAGTAGGTGCGGTCATCCCTATCCCAACCCAGGGGTTCTATCCGCTGTTCAGGTATCTTAGTACGGTATATCGAGACTCGCCGAATTTCAGGCACTTACCCAGCTGGCCTGGTCGACATCCTTCTGTTCCTCCATCTTCTCCCTTATGCGTTCGGGACGCAGCATAATCCATTGTGTCATTTGTTGGAGAATCTGAATCTATTGCATGGTCAGCAATGAAGCTTGATAACTTGGCAATAGTGAGGAGCTGCCTTTCTCAAGACGTCAAAGTCGGCGAATTTTGCAGCAACCTCATCGGAACCAAACGGATTCTTTTCGGGCGCTCTAGCTAAATATTGCCTTCTGGTGTACTCGTCGAACAATTCGTGCCTGCTCCTGGTCAGCGGTCGGAAAACGCGAGGGATCTGGATTAAAGCGTACGTCAAGCCTCTGTGCGACGATATGAACTTGAGAAGAGCCAGGCCAATGTCCTGGAGCACGGGAGCGTTTGGCTTGAGGCATTCGGTTTCGATATCCTGTGGCATCGCGGGTCAGTAATTGCAAAGTTGGTAGGCACGGTTGGGAAGGGCAGGCAGCTTACTTCGGTGTCCAGACTGTCGTCAATCTTAACGACCTTCCCGAAAAGAAAGATCCATTGACACAGGTTGGCAAATTGCCATTGGCTGCGAATGCGATGGAGTAGGTTTGGTTCCTCTCGCTCTACAACGTCGATTTCTTCAATGGTCCGTTTGCGTGACGAGACCATCTTCTGGATTGATATGTCGCGTAATTAAGAGCGCCTTCTGGAAAGCAGGTATATGTCTTTGTCAATTGAGGATTACTATTCGAGGCGTCGCGTCGTGGGCATGTCGTGGCCGAGAAAGGGTTGAAACTACCAATGGCAAGACAAGGCGACGTAGAGGTTGATGGTGAAGACGTCGCGAAGAAAAAAGAAGCTTTGAAGAGACAAGGGAGTTTCCTGCGGCGCAGTGGCGCCGAGCGAGTGCACGTCAGGTAAGATGCGAAAGCGTTATCCGAGTCGGCAAGAGTGGTAAGAATGCAACAGGGCGAAGGACAAGAGAAAGCCGGCGTAACGTAGTTTCGCTCCTTGGGAGAAGTAATCAAAATCTGAGATGGGGTCGTCATAAGGGTTAGAATGCAGGTGCAGTGATGGCTGCCGTCCGGGGTGGTTTTGCAAGGCTAGAGGTGAGGTAGCAATGGCGTGCAGTTTGTACGGCGTGGTACTTCTCAGCTGCCAGGAACGCGACCGTGTAAGATTACCTACCTAAGGCACCTTAACACGACGTGCCTGCCGTCAGGACCGACCGGCGACGCGTCGGGTTAGGCGGGTTAGTTTCTGACGGGTACTCTAAGGTTGCGTCCAGCGGGCCCGTGTTCTGCCGAGGACATGCACCATACTTACATAAGGTACGCCAGGTCCCTTCCATACCTAGGTAGGTAGTGTACCTTACATAAGCCTCACAAGGCAAGACTCAGCCCCGCCCCCCGTCCACATGTAGGTAGCCGGATGAAGAGTATCCATCTCCAAGCCGTTATCCCTCCCTTCCTCTGAATACCCAAAGCTCCCGTCCTTGAAGAACCGGCTTGATTCCCCGAAGTCCCTTAGCTCGTTCGTATTTACTCAGTTCCTTGGAATAATCTGCGTTGATACCTGGATACCTATGGTTCACCTGTGCTCTGATTGAGCGTCAGGGTAGGCAGCAATTTGGCTTCAGGCGGCGACCGGAATTGATATTGCGCAAATCGCCTAGTCAGGCAGAGCTGAGCAACTACACCACATGTGTGATGCAAGTTTTGAGGCTGTTAGTGCCTGATGTGACTAGTCCTCGTATTGAAAGTATACGTACGTTGAGTTCTGTGTGTCGTTCATGCGTGTGCTGTTCTTCCAGAGGCTACCGTCTCACCTTACCTAGTCCCCCGCCAGGGGGTGAGGGAGGACTTCCGATCCAGGGCTCCCGGCACCAAGATTCATCCTTCAGGACAGGGCCGCCCACGCCGACACGCTGACACCCGACTGTTACGCCGTTTCGAGACCTGGTGGGTACGTACAGTGAAACACGGCTTCCATGGGCACTGTCCAGGTACTTTGGCAACCCCTTGATAGTGTCCAAGTCCCTGGGACTACAGTGTATCCACATCCCCCTGGCTGGGCTCCGCCACGGCTACTTACTCAACCTTGGAAGGCACCTACATCTGTCTGTACCTGACTTCTGTACAGAGTACCGCAGTAAGGTAGGGTAGATTGTGGCTCACCACCAATCACAGTTTGCTCTTCGTGTCCTTGTCAGCAGCAGACGATGCCGACCATCCGCCTTGAACGCTGAAAATAGAACTACTTCGCCGAGGACGTCCCACATCGCCAAGTCTCTCTACAGTGCTCAAACTGCTGCGTACTGACTTACTTCCTCTTGGGAACTCAGGCTCTGACCAAGAACAATTAGCAGTAACGAACAACTCGTCGTCCATCCAGCCTCGACAGCTGCCGCAATTCAATCACCCACCATCTGAACACGGCTCCGATTCGATTGAAACGGAATCGCAAAGATTTTCTCGCGCTCACGATTGCGTCGGTGTTCAAAGTCCCCTAGATCCCAGACCTTCCATCATTCCAGCCTGTATTCCCGCCTTGACTCTGCTTCGACACTCGCGTTTGTCGACACCGGGAAATACCTACCCAGTTTGCGACCGACGACAACTTTTCCGACCCCGCGACCCATACCAAGGTGTTGCATCATAGCTGTACGCGACACGATCCGGCGCCTCGACATGGGCCTCACCGAGACCCGACAATAATACGGAACATGCGTCTTGTTCTTCGACCGTTATAGACATAACCGTACCCGCCCCTCACGACGTTGCGGACCGGTTCCGACAGCTGTGTCAAGGACGCGGTGGCTTCCACAAATCTCAAAACTCTTTTGAGCCTCGATTGGATTCGAATCATCAATTCGAGATGAATTCACGACCAGACGATAGCACAGGCTCCGGCGGGGACCGTCTGCAGGCAGACTCCCAAACTGGGTATGAGCGAGGGCGTCAAGGCCAGACTTCAGCACCGCCGCTGTCACCCAATCGGCTCGGCCTTTCGACCTACTGGGAACAGCCGTACGTCGCCGCCCCGACAAGCTCAGGAAGCCCAGAGTCCCCCATCGACGCGTCCGCGCTTCAGTTCGCACTTCCACCCGATATAAACCAACCTCCCCCACCGCCAATCCCACGATTGAATTCACCATCTCTGGACTCGCTTGATCGTCCTTCTCCGTACTACGATGAAGGTGCAAATAACGACTACTACGAGGATAGAGTACCTCTCACTTCGAGAGCTCAGCCCATCTCTGGGTCTTTAAGCGCCAATGCAGCGGGAGATGCTCAGCCCAGAGACAGCTTTCAGACTGTATCCGACATCGACAACACGACTTCAAGAATCCGAGATGCAAGATCTTTGGGCTATGATCTGGAGCCCGGCGGCATGGGTGCCGGACGACGCAGCTACGGAAACACGCTTAGCCCAGGAGGAGATCAGAGAAGATCTCGCTCACCGTCTACGGCTGGCGCGCTGTACAGAGCTGGCTCGATAATGCGAGCCATGTCGCAGCGTGTTGTTAACATCAGCGGCGAGGGCGAAATAATCGACCAGCGCAATTCACGCGGTCGGTCACCCTCTCCGGTGCCGGACCGTCGGCAACAGCTGCACAATTCTGCGCAGATGTTCACCGATACCTCCTATCATTCTCATTTCTCGCATGTGCCTGAAAAGACGCCAGAGGCCGCAGCCATCTTCGCAGAGCCTGCTCCTCCCCTCCAGCCGCGTGTCCCCATGAAGAATCCCCTTAAAGGAAAGTCTTTAGGCATTTTCCCTCCGGACCACCCGATACGAACCAAATTATGCGACTTGTTGGTGCACCCATTCACCGAGCCGTTCATTCTCATCCTCATCATCTGCCAAGCTGTTCTACTGGCAATAGAATCTGCGCCGGATGTCTTCACCCACCCCCGCCCTGACCGATGGGGTATCACGTGGATTGACTGGGCAATGTTAGTACTGTTTGCCATCTTCACTCTCGAGTTGATTGCTCGCATTCTGGTTTCCGGCTTCATCTTGAATGCTTCGGAATATAGCACAATCGATCGAAAACGGGGAGTAAGAGCGGCCGTCGTGGACCAGTACAGGAATATATTTCAACCCCAACGACAAAAGTCTGTCAAAGCTACGCGACAGATCAACCTCGGGCCCTCTGCTTTCCAGCGGTCATTCACTATCATGCAAGGCCAGACGCTACCTCAAACCGTGGAAGAACATCAGAGATTTCAGCTCGCGCGACGAGCCTTTTTGCGTCATTCTTTCAATCGCCTAGACTTCTTAGCTGTTGTCGCATTCTGGATATCCTTCGCTCTCAGTATCACAGGCATTGAGAGCCAAAAACACCTTTACGTGTTCCGCATGATCAGCTGCTTGCGGATTCTGAGGTTACTTGCTCTTACAAACGGCACAGCTGTAAGTGTCCCTTGCTTTCGAAAGCGTATGCCATACTGACATCCTGCAGATCATCCTGAGAAGTTTAAAAAAGGCGGCGCCGCTGCTCGTTCGCGTGGCCTTCCTCATAGCCTTCTTCTGGATCTTGTTTGCCATTATTGGTGTGCAGAGTTTCAAAGCCAGTTTGAGTCGCCAATGCGTCTGGCTTGACCCAACAGACCCCACGAACAAGACTAAATCTTTCACCAATGATATGCAATTCTGCGGTGGATTCCTCAATAATGTTACGGGAGACACCATGCCCTGGGTCCTGGTAGATAATGATGCCGTCTTGGACAACTTCAAGAACGGTAGCAAAGCTGGGAAAGGATTCATCTGCCCTAGAGGATCGATATGTTTACAACAGGAAAACCCGTTCAACGGAACTGTTAGCTTCGACAACATTTTCCAGTCTATCGAGATGGTTTTCGTGATCATCAGCTCAAACACATTCACCGACATCATGTACTACACAACCAACTCGGACTATCTTCCCGCGGCACTGTTCTTTGGGGCAGGTATCATGATACTCATGTTGTGGCTCGTAAACTTGCTCATTGCTGTCATCACGTCTTCCTTCCAAGTCATTCGGGAGGAGAGCAAGGCGAGTGCTTTCACTACGGAAGAGGAGCCACTGGTTCAGGAGCCAGTTGAAGAAGCACCACAGAAGGTTTCGGCACTGCGAAAGATCTACGATCAAACTTCTTTCTTATGGATAGCGGTCATCGCTTTCGGTCTGCTGGCTCAGTGTTTTCGAAGCTCTCGGATGTCAGACAGTCGCGGTCGGTTCATTGATGCCGTCGAGGTTGTCGTCACAATCATACTGGATTTCGAGATTGCCGTACGCATTGCCGCCGGTTGGCGCACTTTCCACAAAAGCCGACGCAACATTATCGACCTAGGCCTAGCTATTATCACGAGCATTATCCTCATTCCTCCAATCCGTAACTCGGGAGAACCTTATGCCTGGTTGACCGTTTTTCAAATCTTGCGGGTGTATCGATTGGTTCTAGCGGTGCCGATGACGAGAAAGCTCATCGTAATGGTCTTGGGAAACTCCAACGGTATTGCCAACCTGATGCTTTTCGTCTTTCTCATCACATTTCTCATGTCCATCCTGGCGGCTCAACTATTCAGGGGCGAGATACCGAAGCACAGCGATGACGGCGACCTCAACGAAGTCTCGTTTTTCACCATTTACAATTCGTTCCTCGGCATGTATCAAATCCTGTCGAGTGAGAACTGGACATCCATGCTTTACAACGTCACATCGTATTTGAACGCTTACAATACTGGCTGGATTGGGGCGATCTTTCTCATCGGGTGGTTCATCCTCGCGTTTCTAATTCTCGTCAACATGTTCATTGCTGTCATCCAGGAAAATTTCGATGTATCTGAAGACGAGAAGCGGCTCGAGCAGGTCAAAGCTTTCTTGCAGAGGAAAGAACTTGGCAAGTCCTCAAGCAACCTGACGTTGTCAAACATCTTCACCTTTGGCAAGGTGAAGCGGAAAAAGGATCCCCTCGACTACGGTCCGGCAATGATGGAAATGTTGCTAAAGGATGCTGTCGTGCATGAGTTCCTCGACGACTCCGTGGAGGGCCAGCATGATAGTCATGTCGAGGAGCAGCAGTCTCCCACGCGAGCCCAAACTGTCGCTGTCGGTGACGTGAAACCTGGCGTCATGTCATCCGTATGGGGCAAGATGACGTCCATTTTCAGCAGCAAGGATCCGAACCCATTCTACTCGAATATCCGTTTCGATGGGCCAAATGATACCCTCGATCCGCGTCAGATGGCGCGACAAGCAGTTTCCGCCACCTCTGCCCGGAGGAAGGCGCAGCGGGAGTACCTGGCGAGGCACCCAAATTACAACAACTCCTTGTTCATTTTCACACCCAAAAACCCCATTCGCCGTTTCTGTCAAAGGATCGTTGGGCCGGGGAGAGGGAACGAGCGATTCGATGGTGTCGAGCCCAATAAGATCGCTTGGTATGCCTCGTCTGCCTTCATTTATGCTTGTATCGTTGCAATGGTTGTGATTGCATGCGTTACGACGCCACTCTACCAGAAGCAGTACCAAGCAGAACATCCTGAATTCAGCATCACCTTCTGGTATGTGTGGACAGACACGGCGTTCGCTGTCGTATTTTCTATCGAAGCTGTTATTAAAGTAATCGCCGACGGCTTTTTCTTTACGCCAAATGCGTACTACCGTAGCTCTTGGGGCTTCATCGACGGAATTGTACTCGTCACCTTGCTCGTTAACGTTGGCACGTTACTCGCCAACGACGGTGCCGTGTCTAGAGCGATTGGTGCCTTCAAGGCATTACGTGCCCTGCGCTTACTCAATGTGAGTGACAGCGCAAGGGATACATTTCATTCACTTATCATCGTCGGCGGTTGGAAAATTCTCAGTGTAAGTATTTCGGTTTGATCCAACCATGATAAAGCTACATTTACTGACCAACGTCACACAGGCCGCTTTCGTGTCAATCTCCCTGTTGATCCCCTTCGCCATCTACGGGCTGAATCTATTCAACGGACAGATGGTTTCGTGCAACGATGGCGATGATTCGATCGTTCTTTTATCAGATTGTTTTGGTGAATTCAACAACACGCCATTCAATGACGACTGGCCGATGCTCGCCCCTAGAGTCCCATCCAACAGCTACTTCAGCTTCGATGATTTTGCGTCTTCTCTATTTGTGCTTTTCCAGATTGTCAGCCAAGAAGGCTGGACCGACGTTTCCTTCGCCTCACAGGCGGTGGTTGGGCGCGGATATCAACCACAGGAACTCAACCGACAAGGCAACGCCATGTTCTTCGTCGTCTTTAACTTGCTTGCGACCGTCTTCGTGCTGACGCTGTTCATCTCGGTGTTCATGCGCAACTACACTGAGCAGACTGGTGTCGCTTTCCTGACTGCCGAGCAACGCTCTTGGCTAGAGTTGCGCAAGCTTTTGCGGCAAATCTCACCGTCAAAGAGTTCCTACGATGAGTCAGAGAAGACTTGGAAGAAGTGGTGTCACAAGCGCGCAATTGAAAAGAGAGGCAAATGGTACACAGCCGTCACGTACGTCTTGGTCTGCCATCTTTTGCTCCTGCTCCTCGAATACCACGGCGAACCGGCCTGGTGGACCGATTCCAGAGATGGTTTGTTCTTGGCATTCACACTGGTCTACATGGCTAATATTGCCATTCGTGTCATCGGTCTTGGCTGGGCTCGCTTCCGCAGGAGTTCGTGGGATCTCTATTCCCTGGTGGTCGTCACGGGGGCTTTTGTTTCCACGTCAGTCCTCATCATCAGCAGGAACAGTGATACATATGTTCAGTTGCACAAATTCTTCTTGGTCGCCATCCTACTGCTTCTCATCCCTCGAAACGACGCCCTGGACCAACTTTTCAAAACGGCCGCTGCCAGTTTGACCACCATTGGTAATCTACTTGCTACATGGCTCGTTTTCTTCCTAGTATTTGCCATTGCTCTGACGCAGGCTTTCAGCCTGACTCGCTTTGGGGAGAATGAAGAGAGTAACATAAACTTCCGCAGTGTACCCAATGCTCTCATTCTCATCTTCCGAATGAGCTTCGGGGAAGGCTGGAATCAAGTTATGGAAGACTACGCTAACATTGAACCGCCACTGTGCGTGGATAATCCCGACTTTTTCGACAGCGACTGTGGCAGTAAACCATGGGCTCGCTTCTTGTTCGTGGCATGGAACATCCTCAGCATGTACATCTTTGTCAACCTCTTCGTATCCCTTATCTACGAGAGCTTCAGTTATGTGTATCAGAGGTCCAGCGGACTTGCTGCCGTTGATCGCGACGAGATTCGCCGTTTCAAAGAGGCATGGCGGAGTGTCGATCCTGCCGGTACCGGATTCATCAGCAAAGACGCTTTTCCTCGTCTCCTAGGCGAACTCTCTGGTGTATTTGAGATGCGCATCTACGATGCCGATGACTCGGTCAGACAAATTCTGGAGGATGTACGCAACGACGCCGCGACCTCCGGAGCACGGCACATGTCAATTGCCTCAGCAAGCAACTACAGTGCAGGGGTCGATATTCAGCGGCTGAACAGACGTTTGGCCCAGATCGATATCAACAAAGTGCGTGAACGGCGCCGTCGGTTCAATATATTCTTCGAGGAGGTTATGGTCTCGGCAGATCCTGACAAAGGCATTTCCTTTACGTCTGTTCTAATGATTCTGGCTCACTACAACATTATCAATGACAGCAAGAGTTTGAAGTAGGTGACCTCTCATCAACTTGATAGCATGTTGAGCTAACAAGTAGGCAGGCTGGAAGAGTTCCTTCGTCGGCGAGCCCGATTGCAGCGTGTCGAGGAAGAAGTTCGTCGAAGAATTGTCCTGGGATTCTTCGACACCCTGTAGGTTTCCATTTCCCCTTAACCTGTAGATGTTCAACACGGTCAACTAATCCTCGGGCCTTTAGCTACTGGACGCGGAAGTTCAAGAAGCATATCGACCTGAGAAAATCGGCTAGAATGACGGCGATTCCTCAGCTCGATATCCCTCACATCCTTGTGGATGACGACGAGCACCGGCAAAAGTCCTCTCCTGTAGCTGGAACTGGTCAAATGAGGTCTGCACTTCTCACTGTGGAGGACCCTAACAAGTCGTCACACAAGAGTTGGACACCAGGGCCAGACGTGGCATCCAACGACGCAGACTATCAACACCCGCTCAGTTTTCCACGGTCTGGCGTATCAACGCCAGGTCATAATTCGACGCACTCAGCTTTCAGCTTTGAGCTTCAAGAAGGTGGACAATCATCGGCTCAAAGTAGCCGACGTGGGAGTGCGGTCAGCCCAGTCCAAAGTCCTGTCAGCCCAGCACAGGTCAGCAACATGCTGGACGATTCCATCTGGCTGGAGAGTATTCGACGCAGCGCAACAGTCAGGAAATCGGTCCGCAAGTCTGAGTGGAACCGGTGATGTTGTCAATCGAACCATGAAACCTTTGTATTCATCATTGTCGTTTATTTTGGCTCAATTTTCCCGGCATTTAATACAACAAGCGATGGCGTTCAGGTCCTGGGAAAGGAGTTCTGGGTCTAGGTGAAGCATCCAGGCCCTGCTGCGGCCTGGTTGCAACCAAGATAATGATTGAATGATAGAGAGAGCCTTCGACACGGCACACATCAACTTTAGCAAGATGCTGTACGAAAAGGAGCCACTTAGACTAGCATTGACAATTTCAAAGCGCCCTGAGCTCATACTCCAAGTTTTCGATTTGCACCCGGCAATCAGGTTCCATCGCATCTAGCGCAGATGGTCAGGGCTATCCGACGCGAAGATTGTCGAGATTCCGAGTCTTTTGTGGTAGCCAAACTCAGTTCATGTGTTGTACGCAAAGGTCCCTTCTTTTCAAGCATCTACCGCTTAGACGTCGCGATCAGGCTTGGGAGGTGGAGTTGAGTTTCTCGTTCATCCGATGAATGACGAGAGCATCGAGGAAACGAAAGAAACTCTTTTTCGCCAAGAGTCTGAGTCAGTCGAAAATCTTGGCCGCGCAACGGCAGGCGCAGAAAGCCGAGCCAGTACTGAAAACAAATGCTGTGTAGTGATCTGCCGGAAGTGTGATGGCTTCACTGTTGTAGTGACAATACGTTTTGTCCATCGTCAATATTCTCGACCTTGTCTTGGCAGGCCTGGAGTATGGCAGGATGTTCTGCATAACCCGATGATTGGGAGGTGGAACGAGAGTTATTCGCTTTGGATTTCTATCTCCAATCTACCTATCGTTGTCGAATGCCGTCTAGTGGCTTGTCAAGAACGGGGGTAGACAGGTTCGAAGGTATCGCAGTTTTTGAGGCTGATATGGCGGCGGATGATGCAACCGCAACAGATGATTGACTTTGTTACAGCTTCCACCTCGTCTGCGACAGTTGGAATACAATGAAATGGAACTGATACGACGAAATGGGCACCGGGTTTGTTAATTTTCCGCGGGGAGTCGGGGAATTAGCCATGTCCAGGCCGATGGGAAGCAGTTCTCGTGTTCCTTCAGTCCTGTCTCATCTGGTCTGGTCTTGTCGCGCCTTCTCGATGCTCGGCTTTTTGCCGTTTCACGCTCACCGATGTTTCAAAATTGCCCGTCTCCTTGTTTTTCCTTCTCGATTTCTCAATTCTCCCAAACCAGCCCGTGTTGGTGGGCACTAAGGGACCCAGCGAAAGAGCAAAACCTCGGACGGATGGGTCGTTTGGGCAGGGGAACTGGATGAAGACAAGAAGTTGAGCAACGGCCGTTCGTTGCCGGCCCCAGGCCCCTGTTTGCTCCACGGCTTTCCTTCCTCTTTGTGAAGGGGATCGACGAGCCTGCCCCTGGACAAGAGTAGATAGGTAGGAGGGCGTACGCACCTATGTTTTGGCGGGTGATGGTCCACTGGCGATAAGGTGCTGCGATCGACTGCGATCGGGGAATGGAAGAGACCCTGGAGCGCAGTTTGACAAGTGTGACGGTGTTTGTGATTCTGTACGTAGCTCCGGCCGCCTCGTCAAGCTAACCTCAGCTGGCTCTGGGCACCATCCACCACCTGGTGCGGTCTGCTCTTTGATCTTGACCTGGTCATGTCATTTCTTTTCGGCACCCGACAACATCGATTCCATCTAAGCCTTCATGTTAATGGACAAGATGTAGTGTGTATATTGGTGGCCTCTGTCTCCCGTAGTCTGTAGATGATGATGGCCATATTTTTGGTAACGACTGAATGGGCCGCTCCCGGGCTGGTCCCGGTTCACGAAAAAGGCAGAGAGTTTCCAGAAGGCTTCGAAGCCCACATCACATTGATAGGACGTGGGCAGTTGGCACGAACGCCTCGCGGCGTTGCGTGTTGCGCAACGCAACGCAACGCAACCGCAACACGCTCTTGCGCAAGGGTCCGCAGTACGTTATGCAACGGCCATCGTCAAGTCTCAACTTGTCAGACACCTTGCCTTTAGTACCGCTGGTAATGGCCGATGTGTGGCACAGCCGGGGCTGTCTTGGCCGTTGCCGGCGTCAGCCATCCGTCAGCCATCCGTCAAGCATGGCATCGGCAATTTCTTCGGTGGGTGCCCTTGAAACAGCCGTGCGTTCTTTGTCCCCAACCCCCAACCCCCAACCAAGCCTGAAAGTAGGGTGCGAATACAGACAGATAGTAGCCGCTCAGCAGAGGGGTTTCAGACGTATGTATGTGGTGATGTCTAGTGTAGGACGGGAGATGATCCCTTGGCTTGACCTTAAGCAAGATAAGATACCTGTCTGCGCTGTCACGTCGTCAGTGGCAGTGGGTAAAACCTCTGTGCTGCTGGCTGCAAGAGGAACCAAGACGAGATTTCGTGGGATCCGTAGCTGCCTCCAGCGCCCCCCTAGCCCGCGATCCGACACAGAGTACCCTGGAAAGCGTGTTTTGGAGCCCCTGTCCTGGTGCGAGTGCAACCCGACGACGATCACACAATGCAGCCTGCTACAGAATTCAGACTGCGCTCCTCTCCTCGCCTCGCCTCTGCTCTGCTCTGCACCGACTCCCTAGGCATTCATCTTCCTCTAGGTAGTTCTCTTCCAGTGCGAGCAGACGGAACAGGTACTCTTCTTACATGCCTACTGTAGATGGTCTAGATGAACGTGCTGCCTGGCAATAAACGAATCCAGGCGGCTCCTGCTGTGCATCGTTCTGGTTGCAGCTGACGCACGGCGCTGCGTGTCCGATGTTTACTCGGGAAAATAGCTCTGCCTTCGTCATCATCGCGGCAAGAAAAGGGGGGATGTGGCAAAAAGTTGAGATGCGGTCAGGCAAAGGGCTGGACCTATGGACTGCCCAGGAGGCCTATTTCTGCCGACCATGGCAATCACAAGGCTGATGGTCAACTGAGGTTCCTGTCCGTATCGGGTCCGATCTGTCGAGCCCATCGAGCAAGACAATGTACTAAGTATGCACATCATCTCACCTTTCGTTGGGCTTCTACAAGATTTCCAGAGTCTATTCTGCTCCATGTACTAAGCAGTACTAGGCGCTACCGTCACTCGCAGCTAACCCTCTTCTCCATCCCCGATTTCCAACGTCTCCTGCCCTTCTGCGTCGTCTGAACAACACGCCATCCGCCCTTCCCAGGTTGCCCTCTGCCTCGAGGTATCGGTGTCCCTGTCAGACCATCGCCCCAAAGATCCCCGCAAGCTGCAATGCAATTGCCCAAAGAGGCAGAGTCCAGAGGCTCTCACTCGCATTGATCCCGCCTGCGTCAACCCCCTGACGAACCCGCTTCTCCACGCAGTGCCTTACAGCGTACTAGGGGCCTCCCACCTCCCACCTCCATACCCCTGTTCCCTTCGTTCCCTCTGCCACTTCGCTTCGTCTGCGATTGATTCCTAACCAGGGGCCATTTGCCCGTCACTGCACTATACTGCGTTTTCAATTCTTCGCCCTAAAAGTCAGTCTCGATATAACCTCTTGCAATCCGCCTCTGTTCCTTCTCTAGTCATCAGTCCGTCATTCCTGCTCAACTCGATTCAATCTCGCCGTTGGCCTCCACTCCTCTGGTGGTTGACTTCTGAGCATTCCATGTCTCCTTCTTGCAGTCACCAGTCCCGCCTCTAACCGTTCTACGTTCTCGTCACTCGCTCGACTACTCGTTTCCGTCATAGGCTGCGCCTTTTCTTCAAATCGCATACTCATATGCAAGTAACCTGGGCGTTTTGCTCGTTGTCTCATCAAAAAACTTTCCAACGTCCCGTACGGAACCACCAACACGCTCGGCCGCCCACCTATGCTCCCCCCCGAACAGAATATACCAAGAGCTGTATAAGAGAATCGTCCAACATGCAATCCTCTCGCCTCCAATCCATTACCTCTCGCTTCTCTCCGAGGTCTTTGCGAACCTCCTTTCGCCGGTCATCCTCCGCTTCATCTCGTGCGAGCAGCGATCGAGGCTCGTATGCCACAACATCATCGTCTCCTGTAAGCACAATCAACAGCATTGTCTTCCGTCAACCCTCGATGCTCGATCTCGAAGAGGAACGAAGGAGCTTTGGCAGCGAGCTCAGTATCCTTGAACCCCGCCCTGCCATGTACATGGGCAGCGTGGAGGAGCGTATGGGCTCTCTCTAGGGTGGGTGGAAAACACGCCAATTGCAACGCCATATTATGAGTGGAAGTCAAACGGGAAACGACACTTTTCTTTTCACGAGTCTCGATGTTGCGGGTTGGGCTTGGGCTAGACGAGAACCCAGGTGGTGGGCTTGGGTAAAGGCGCAAAAGGAGTTCAGGTTTGATCGCAGAAGGGTTGTCCAAAGTTGACATGCCCCCCGCCCTTTTTTTTTTCCCCCTCTTTTTCTCCTCCATTGAGGCCAGTTACAGAACTGGTTGCACAGAATTGCGAGAATCAGTCCTCAGTTGAGACGACCATAGCAACGGTTTGGCTTGTAAGGGGGCGCGGCCTGCACAGGGCGCAGCCGAAGAGCCCTTCGTGAGATACTTTCGTCTGAAATGAAAGCGGCCAATCATTCGTATTTCAATGCTCTCCGCCATCGGTGAATGCCAGCCAGTGAATATAGATGTGCTGGCTCTGACGTGTTTGCAAATCACTCCGCTGGCCCCCTTGTCTATTGTGTCGCAGACTCATAAGTTGGGCTAAATCACATTGGGCTAAATCACAAAAAGGCCAGGACCTAAATATGGACCATTTGTTACTATGAGGCTACATGCGACATCACATCTTCCAGAACCTAGACAACCCCAAGACCCTCGCTCGAGAGGCTCCGAACAAAATGCCACATGATAATGCAGTTGGACCAAACCTGGTTCCAAGAAAGTTCTGGCTTTTGGTGGGCGGGAATATTCTATCGCCGCCTCCGACTTGGAACCGCCTGTTCACCATGACGGAGGAGCGAAACAAGGCAGAGCGAGACAAGAAAATTGAGAAGAGAGAATTCCAAGATGCAGCGAAGAAGGCCAAGGCAGAGCTCGAAGCTACCAAACAGGCGTTCAAAGAGGAATACGGAGGCGGCTTGGCAGGTTGGAAACAACGGAGGCGCATGGCGGAAGGAGCTGAGGTCGGCCAAAAAGAGGACGATACTGCCCGCGGGGTGCAACGGACTGACAACCCCGATGCTGGAGAGATCGGACTCGAAACGTCCGCCTGAATGCCCGCAAATTCTATGCCGGTCATTTGCTGTATTATGAGCAGCTACAATAACCCAAGGAACTGGCCGAGAACAAAGTCGTTAGAATAATGCGGTGGTACAAGGCAGTGGCACCACCGCGAACAGCTCTATGATACAAATACTATCGCTTACATTTACAACACAGAGATCAAGCTCACCTTCAATATGCTTGACACCAGCGCTCGTGTTTCCTCACAGGCTGTGACCGACAACGAATGTTCCCAGATTAAGCCGAGCTCTTGTCCCTCCTCTTGCCCATGTTGCGGGCTCTGGGTTCGACAACCCATTTGTTGAAGTTATGCTTGCGACGGGTTTTGAAACCTCCCTTGGCCTGTGTCCCATACTATTCAGCAAACTGTAAAATCGACGGCCAAAGATCGACAGACTACTCACCAGAGTGCCCCAAGGACTTGTTGGGTGGCGATTTCCTTTGGACTTTCCACGACCACCTCCATGAGGATGGTCAACTGCAAAGCCATGTATGTCAGCAAATCTAGCAGCATGGCTTCATCAAGAACCACAGCACGACTCACCAGAGTTCATAGCAACACCACGGACCGTCGGGCGAATGTTGAGCCAACGACTTCTTCCCGCCTTACCCAGTTGTCGGTACTGGTGATGCGGGTTGCTGGCGACTCCAATTGTCGCGCAGGCATCCTTGCTGACTCTGCGGATTTCACCGCTTTGGAGGCGAACGTTGACATACTTGCCCGTCATGACCCTGGTTCCGTCGTCCTTGGTCTCCTCCTCCTTGGACACAACAATCGCGTATGTGCCCGCGCTCCGGCAAAAGACTGCGCCGCCTTTGGCTTTGGAGCCAACGTTGAAGACGACAGTTCCAATCGGTATCATATGCATGGGTAAACAATTGCCTCTCCACGCAGTCTTGGCGGCCAGAATACCGGGATCAACTACACCACCCATGGCGTCGAGAAGGTCTTGGGGAATGCCAGCACGGTAACTGTGAACAACATCGCCGGCCCGCATGCCTTCAGAAGCTACAATGTAGCTCTTCCTGCCGGTGGATTGGTTTGTTAGCAATGCAATATGAGCACTGCGGCCAGGATCATGCTCAATGCGTTCAACGAGATGCGGGCCTGGTTGCCGGCGTTCGAAGTCGACAGTGCGTATCCTCCTTTTGGCGCCACCTCCGCGGTGTCTAACGGTGATTTTCCCAGAAGAGTTGCGTCCTCCCTTCCCATGTCCTTTCTTCGGAAAGGTCAGGGGCAGGAAAGGGCGGCCCTTCCACAAGTGGTCGTTGATAGGGCGCTTCAAATGTCGCACACCGGGGGTTCGTGGCTTGTAGGTGCGCATAACAGCAGAATCGTTGGTCGACTTCTCGGACGCAGTGGGACTAGCGAACGTACTCGCAGCCTGCCTAGGTTTCTCGGAAGCAGGCGTTTCTGCAGACCTTTTGACGGTGGCATATTGTCTTACGAGCAGAGCACGGAAGGCTGGCGAGCTCGGAAGACCGACGTGGCCTCTCTGTGCCGACAGAAGCATACGTGGTGCAGGCATATTGTCGAGGACTCGGGTTCCAAGGTTTGGTGATCGCCGTCGCTTCAATGATCAAGTTCTGGTTGATATTTCAGAGGCCGGTCAGCGCGACATGGTCGCAGAAAGCGCAGGCAAGGAGTAGGTTGGGATGGCGAACAAAATGTCCAGAGACGCCAAGTGAGTGACCGATATAATTCAGAACCCCTTCGCAGATATCGAAGGCGACTTCTCTGCGTAGCGTCGCTTTGCGTGGGCGGGATAATGGCTTCGTCTCCTCCGAGCAGACGGGGCCGGGCTGCAGTGCAGATTTCGAGATTTGGAGATAAATTCTGCCGGCGCCGCATGAGCTTCAGCCACGTTGTGTTGGTGAGGCCGGCTGGCGTGGCACAGCAGACTGACTAAGCGAGGCGCTGGCTGATTAAGGCACCCGACACTGGACCGCAGACTGCGCGACGGGACGCCTCGACACGACACGGTGGTGGAGGAGCGGGGTCGCCAGTGAAGCGTGACTGTCTTGCAACGCAGGGCAGGTAATGGTGTATGTACATAGTGTAGGTAGGCAGGTGCCTCAGGTACATAGGTAAGGTCGGCAATTAGGTAGCGTGTAGGCCACCCAGCACACGTCTGAAGGACAGCCAATAAGGCAGTGGTTGCTCTGCGGTTGTCAGTGTTGATTGCTATTGTGACCGGGGTGCGGCCCCAGTGCTCATCCGTAGTGTCTTTTTTTTTTCTTCCTCTCTTGTGCTGCATCCCGTTCCACCTGGCCCTCGCGCGCGCAGCCCCGAAGAGAGACAGGGCAGTCGCGTCGGGTTCCTGCTCGTTTCCATTGGCAGACAGCACCGCGGTCCCCTCCCCAGACCAGACGTTCCTCATAAGCCTCGACCACCGCTATCACTATCTCCGACCCGACTGCCTTACAAGTTACAGATACCTTGAACTTCGAGGATCGTCTTCATCTCGACTGCGCCAAACCAGCCCTGGAGCTTTCACCTTCGGTCCAAACCGCAATATCAAAAGTTCAAGTTCAAGTCACCGTTACCAGCTGCCCCAAACCACCCTGCTCATCATCATCATCACCATCATCATCATCAACAGCCAACACCTCAACTCACCCTAGGCTCTCTCATCAGATATAACACGCGTCCTCACTCATCGTTTTGGCCGTCTGTTTGTCGGTCGTTTTCCACCAAAGGAGGAACCAGTCCAGCCTACTCTCTCACCTCCAACCCGCCTCACGCGTAACACCAATTCACACCGTCCACCTATTCTGATTCACTCAGGCTGCTTACTAGCTTCCATCTGGGCAGCATATCTTGCACCGCTCTCCGCAACACACAAAGAGACTTCATTCTCCAGTGTGCACATCCATCCAGCAACTCACAGCAGCAATTGCGACAACCTCCACTTCGTCATCTGGCACCCGTCACGACAAAGACGCGACTGCCTTAACCGAGAGTCAAGAAGCCACTCCCTGTCCGTCGTTCGCGCCTCCGCTACTGTGGTGACCAGAACCCAGACCAGGGTCACCGCGAGCCGCGATCCAAAGGTACGTACCCCCAACACCCCGTTCTCAATACCCACTACATACCACATCACGTCCTCTGTTCCCACTACCTCAGCAAAAACACACATCACAATCCATCTTTCCACCTCTTCCCACATAAACAACCTCTTTTCCCCCAAGTCCAATCTCTTAATTCACCTCCCAACTTCGAGATACCCTTCCGATACCTACCCTTGATCCCTCTGGCCGCCGATTCTCTGCCAATTGGCCTCGTCGACGCGACTAATTTTCCCCCATAGCCATCCGTGTTTGGTCGAACCAGAGCAAACCCTTTGCTCGCGTTCGAGTCGCCCGTCATCATCATTCCCAAGGTGCGCATGTCTCGACCCTCGTTCCTCTCTCCGGCCAGTGCCTCCACCTCCTCCTCCAAGAGTTGTCCCATAACCCTTCCGTGGCGCTCATCATTTCATTATTCTGTCTTTCTGCCTTGAGGCTTACCTTAGTGGCGGCTCAGTCCTCATCGACGCGTCTGGTGCTGACCATATTGACCCAGACTCTTACATCGCAAATCACCCACCATCTTCAGCAACCAGTTGACGAAAATGCCTCCTGCCGTGAGTTCTACCCGCACCTGCCGCCTTCTTCCTTCTGGTAGTCTTCGAGGCTCCAACTCTGGGCAGCCCCATCGCGTCGCCATCTCGCTTACCATGCCCTTTAGCAACCCCGTCCGACGCGTGCAACACGCCTCGTGTCAAACGAGAATGACGAGAACAGTGGCTCAATGCGAATGACGCGTGCCAAAGCGGCCGCGTTGAGTGTTGATGAGCTTGCTGTCGCCGGAAAGCCTACGAAGAAGTCCGCGGCCACCACAAACACTGCAGCCACTGCAGGGAAGCGCAGTGCTCTCGGCGATGTGAGCAACGTCAAAAACGCAGATGCGGTTGAGAGAAAGAAGGCCACCGGCAAGGTGGGCCTCGTGTCGAAGGCTGCTCAGCCCACCGGTGTCATCAAGAACCAGTCTCGTTCGACCGCAACCAGAGCTGCCCTGCAGCCCAAGGAGGCCAACAAGAAGGCCGAGCCGAAGCGTGGCGCCCCAGGATCAGGCGTTGTCAAGCGGCGAGTCAACGCGATGGCGCAGCCAGCTCCCAAGGATGCCAATGTTGACGATGATGAGCCCCGCCGCAAGAAGCACCACACTGCCCCGTCCGAAAAGTCGAGACCCAAACCCGAACCTGAGGCTGCTCCCGTCAAACGTTCTGCTCAAGAGCCAGAGTCATCCAACACCGCGAGAGACGCCCAGGTCGACCTGGTCGAGTATCCCGAGGGAGTAAAGAATCTGGACGAGGAGGATCTGGACGACCCTCTAATGGTTGCCGAATATGCCAACGAAATTTTCGAGTATCTCCGTGATCTGGAGTGCAATTCCATTCCCAACCCGAACTACATGGAGCATCAAGATGATTTGGAGTGGAAGACGCGCGGGATTCTCGTCGACTGGTTGATTGAGGTTCACACTCGTTTCCACCTGCTCCCCGAGACTCTCTTCCTTGCCATCAACATCATCGACCGTTTCCTCTCTGAAAAGGTTGTACAGCTGGACCGCCTGCAGCTTGTCGGCATCACCGCCATGTTCATTGCCTCAAAGTACGAGGAGGTCCTGTCACCTCACGTCGCCAACTTCCGCCACGTCGCGGATGACGGATTCAGTGAGGCCGAGATTCTCAGTGCTGAGCGTTTTGTTCTCGGCACTTTAAACTATGACCTGAGCTACCCCAACCCCATGAACTTCCTGCGTCGCATCAGCAAGGCAGACAACTACGACATCCAGTGCCGTACTATTGGCAAGTATCTCATGGAGATCAGCCTTCTCGATCACCGTTTTATGGCTTATCGTCCGAGTCACGTTGCGGCCGGTGCTATGTACCTGGCCCGCCTGATTCTTGACCGTGGTGACTGGGTATGTTCAGACAACACTACAAACAATTCCTCACTAGGTTTTTTTTTTTTTTTTTTTTGGTACTTACCGTTTCCCAGGACGACACCATCGCATTCTATGCTGGTTACAACGAGGAGGAGATTGAGCCGGTAGTTCGCCTCATGGTCGACTATCTTGCGCGTCCTGTCGTTCACGAAGCCTTCTTCAAGAAGTATGCCAGCAAGAAGTTTCTCAAGGGTAATTGCGCCGCGCCTGCTTTGTCTGGTTCGCAAACTAACGTGGAGTAGCCTCGATTCTTACGCGTCAATGGGCCAAGAAGAGTGCCCCGCACTTTGGTATCGTCGACACCCATCTCTCTCTGGACCAAATTTCCGCCCGGGATGGTGACTACCCCGAGGATGATGATGACTACTAGCGACATGCGCGATTTTCGAGTCTTGGAACAGGTTCTGATTTCACAGGATACCCTGGACCAGGGCAGTTGGATGAGCATCAGCGTTTACGGCCACTGTTACGAATGCATAGATCGACGACCAGCACTTTGGCAGTGCATCAATCCACGTCGTCCTCTCGTCGCGCTCCTCCAAACTCAACAAACCTATAGCAACAATACGCGCGCGGGCTTCTGGGGCGGATGATAGGTCTTTATTACTTGTTTTGTCTGGGTCACATTGTTCAGACTCATTGTCAGATACTAGCAGCTGTTTTGTGCTGCTATTTGTTGTCGGTTATACATTTTCCAGTGCATTGGGGACTTCGTGCTCTTGTCTCACGAATGGCGCATGGAGTCAGAGGTCAAGGATATCACGAAGCGGACGGTTTGGCTGGAGTTCGTTGACCATTGTCTTTCCAGTAGGCTGGGAAGGCATGGGATCCTTTGGTATTGCGTTTTCAGGCGAAGCCAGCCTGTCGGCAGGGCGTCTCGCTTCATCGCATCTCAAGTTCGGAGGTGTTATGGAAGATGGCCTTGGAGGGAAGGGCCCCAATCGCAATGGGTCGTAAATGGAAGCTTGGGGATGAGCGAGGGCTATCGTGCAAAAATTGTACATACATCTGTTCGGAGAATGCTTGGTTCACGGAAGGGTCACTAAATGCATTGCGTTTTTTTTTCTGGTTCAAGACAAGCGGGCCTTGAAGATGCGAAGGCGATCGACTCGGTCAACGGGAGAATCCGCTAATCGTCGAGTCTCGCAACGATCCATGCTCAAACGTGATCCTCGCCTTGAACGAAGTTTGTGCGCAAATGCTCTGTATACATGTTATGCGCGACGTTCTTCTGACTCTGGGCCCCTCCCGGGAACCACGCAACGCTTCAACGCACATGACGCGGCAATTCCGACAACCTGGAAATATTTTGGTGGGTAGATGGGTAAACGTCTCGGCACAAGGTACTTCGAGCCTGCAAGTCTGGTTGTTTGAGTGGAACTGCTGTGAGTGTTTCTGTCGCGACGTGCGAGCAGCATGCCTCCGCATACGGATGACAAACAAATTCTCGAATCGTTTCATATCGATTACCATTAGTTTACACTACGTTACACTACTCAACATCGGTGGTTCAACAACGAACTACATCCATGAGGCATCATTAATCCTTCCTCAAGCGCCGAGAGTGGTGCGGGTGTCGGCGCGGTACCAGTTTGCCTTAGGATCTCCGAGACAGTCGCCAAGGGTAACCATTTGCTTACCCTGGAACTTCTGAAGCATATACTCTGTAAGGTTGTACACCGTCTGCTGATGGATGTCATGGCCAATGACGAGAAAGTTATCGCTGGGAGCGGGCTTGGCGGCTATGGCCTGGTCGACGATTGTTTTGGACTGGGCAATCTCTGTTGGGCTATCGTGAAGGTAGTCTTGGGTGTCCAGGTCGAAATAGATGACAGAGTAGCCCAGTGCAGCCATATCATCCTCGCAGCCGCACTCAGCATTGCATGAGGAGAAAGGAGGCCTGGGAGAAGACGAGGTCAGGCAAATCATCCACAACCGCAAGACACCAGCAACTTACCTCATGTAGGTAGGGAAGACACCAATGATGTTACGCAGAGCCTGCGGCAAATACGGTCAGCTTACGAATTCATCCTCATTTCACGTAGAACAAACCATTTCCAGCTTGTACATCTCATCCTTGCGCTGCGCCGAAGTGATGTTGCACTGCCAAAAGAAGTCTTGTCAGTATGACAATTGAGCGGAGAGGATCCAGGTAGAGCAGTTACCAAATCAGCATGAGACCAAGTATGACTGGCAATCTGATGACCCTCGCTGTACATTCTCCTATTGTACTAGATGAGTAATAAGCTAACAACGAAAGGGATACCGAATTGTCTGCTTACTTGATGATGTTCGCCCAAGGCAGGGTCGTATTATCGATCTCGCCCTTGGCGTTGTTGTTGCCTGTGACCATGAAGGTCGCCGAAGCATTGTACCTTTTGAGGAGATCCAGAAGATCAGAGGTGTACTTGTCCGGACCATCGTCGAAAGTCAGAGCAACGTCTCCTGGGTTCACACAGCTGTAAACCCCAGGACCCCCATATGCGACTTGACCAAGCTGGGGACGGGCGATGCTGGAGGTGTTTTGACCCGAAGGGACTTGGTTAGCATCGCACGCCGGCCCAAACTGGAATAGGCAGTCCGGGGCTCTGCAGTAGTCTTGAAACATTGTTAGAATTAGGTGTCATTTCCATTTAACATCGGTGTTGTTCTCACCTGGGCCCGTTCCACAGTATCTAGCAGCAAGGTTAGCCATAAGAAGCCCCAAGGATACAGTCATCACTAACCCAGCAGCGGAGCAGCATTCGTTTGATGCGCAACTTGTGTTTCCGTTGTCAGGACCACATTGCGTGTTGCCCGCAGACCCATCACCGCCGTCTCCGCCGGCCGGTGGGCTGCCGTCCTGCGTGCAAGTGCCGAACTGGCCCTGGCAGCCGTTGGAAGTCAGGCAGTAGTCGTCGGTGCTACCACACCATCCATTCACGGAGCAGCATGGAAGGTCCGTTGGACAAGAGAATGCGGACGGGTTGCCTCCATTGCCAGTTGTTCCGCACGTGTTGTCTGGGGACACGGCTCTAGAGAGAAGAAAAGATGGCGAGGCGACGATCCCTAATGGCAGTGCCAGAGCAAGCACGAGGAATTCGAGCGTGGACGTCATCCTTTGCTAGAAAGAGCGGTAATGATAGCCAAGAGACAGAACGAATGCCAAGGCTGATGATATAGCGAGTGAAAGCTGCGATCTGGGATGCTTGTCAAAATCAGCCAAGAAACGCGGCGGCTTCGCCGGCTTATATGGGTTGACAAAAACGCCCCAAGAATAAGGAAATGTAGATCGACAGGCCGATGAGCCGGAAGAAGCTTTGAGAAGGAAGAGGATGAGGTGGTATTTTGGTCATGGCGGCGCAAAGGGGGTCAATGTTTGAGAATCAGTTAGATGCTAGGTCAAGCTTAGAATCAAGCTTAGCACGACTACCACATCGTATACGGCTGAGGCGTTCCCAGAGTTTTGAAGGGCTCCAATTCCGCAAAGACCGCTGGCGCCGTCGCCAGAGGTTGGGGCTAAAGGGAGAATCAGGATGGATGGGCGGGAACTGAGTGGGTATGGAGACGGCTAGCGGATGCTCCCTCGGAGGACCGTGTGCACAGGTCCAAGCCATGCATGACCAATGCTACTATGCCTTTCTCTTCTTTCGGGGTGTTTTCTTCTGTACGCCTGGGAGACAGCGGACGGCTGCATCAAGACTTTGGACTATTTGGGCAAAATCGCGTTTGGATCATGACCACAGCAAAGAATACAAAGTAGTACCAGAAAACATCTCCAAGGCCGGAATGGCGAGAACATGGCTGGCTGTTCAGAGCGGTAAGTCGTAAACCGATGAGCAAGCATATTGCAGACGTGAGACAACATGATGTTAGTTGGGCGACCGGTTGAGCGGTAAAAAATCACGGATGAGGATCAACGGCGCTGTGGGAACCTTGTGCTTTGTCTGGGCTGACGGTGGCTTCTGCAACGATCAGGCAGAGGAATTGTCAGGTGGCCAATTCGGCTTTACGGCACAAAGACGAGGTTCGGGACATGAATAATACAATGTTCCCAAGCCCGACGTAAACAGGGCTACAAGTTGCCAATTCAGCGGGTCATGAAAATGGTCGTCAGGGAGATTCATTCCTAATGGATAGCGGAGCGGAAGAGCATGCTGGGCTGTTGTCCGCACGCCGGGCGGGACCGAGCGCGCCGGGTCCGTGTCTTGCCCCGGGAGTAGGTATCGTTAAGTCGAAAAGCCCAATGTTCTGCGGCCGTGAAGTCGCCGGAGCGGCCCCCTCGCAGTTGGGTAGGTATGTACGGAGCCATGGCGAATCGGAGAATTCTTTGCCACCTGCGTTACCGCTCGTGGCGGGTAGTCTCAAACAAGGACCTCACAAGGAACCGACTGAAAATTTCATCCCTATTTTTTTTAGTCTCCTCGATTAAAACCGATTCCACCTCCCAGTGGCGTATGATTGGACGGACTTACTTGCCAGGGTCTGATTTTGCGGTTGTGTAAGGGATGAATGGGGGTTCGGCTCTTCAGTCATCAACGAAAGGGGACGGATAATGGATAATGAAAGGGAAAACAGGGTGGAGATGTCGTCTGACGCATGACATGAATACCAAGCCGATGGAAAGGGGATGACTTATCCTGTAGCTTTGGAAGGAGGCCGAGGGAAAGGAGAAGCAGCAGCAGATAAGGGCGCTAGATGTGGCAGTCTGGCTAATACTTCGTCACCACCATGACTGCGCCCACGTCCATCATACCTCCTGAAAGGGCGTCGTGTGCGAGCAGGCGATTGCGCCTCGTACGGTGAGTCGTTGCAGAGTCCGAGACAGCCGTGGCATCGTATGTGTAGTGCCGGGCTTGCTTGTTGTTGCAATAGCTCTCCGTTTAATTACCAGTATCCGTACAAAAGCATGTACATTGCTGACGTCAATGCCAAGAAGAACTACTGTAACATGAGATGACCTGAAAACGGGAGGAATGCAGCATAGGAAGGTTTGCAGACGTTTGGTGTAGGCACGTATCCGGGAGTGAGTGTGGGTGCTGTCTGTGGTGATGGCAGGCGCACGATGGATGCTCTGTCATGCAACGTGAAATATGCAATTATCTCATTGTACGTACATAGTGTCCTAATGCCTTCAGACGAAGACTCAGTCGCTCTTCCGGACGACTGATGAGACTGAGAATTGGGATCGGTCGCAGATTGAGGCAAGTGAAGCTGACGAGCCGCTTGGCACAGTCAGAAGTGACAGGATCTGTGTCTCTTCTTCTCCACGGCCAAGAGCCAAGCCACTCTGGGCCCAGGCGAGCCAACCAACCATACGAATACCTATCTGTACATTTACCTCCTTAGGTATCCATACCTCACCTGGGTCGTGGTACCTACCTAGGTACA